CCGGACGACATGAACATCTCTCATACGTTCAATGTAGCTGACATTTATGAGTATCATGCCGATTGTGTTCTTTATCCAGATGAGAACTCGGGGTCGAGTTCTTTGGAGGTGGAGGAGACTGATGCAGGAGACGGTTAAGCTTAGTCCATTCTAGTTTACATGATATTTTCCTAATTAAGTGTTTTCCTTTTCTAATTAGGATTTTAGTAATTATCCTATTTTATGCATTAGGCTTTCTCTATAAATAGAGACCCTAGATCGTTTGTTTTGAACACAACTATTATTCATTCTTATTAATCAAAGTCTTGAGTTTTCGAGCTTTACCTTTTCTGGTGGATTCCAGAGCTTTTTCTTCAAGTTTGTCGCTTGCAAACTTGAGCTTTCAATTCCAAGACCAACGCTTGTTGTCTTGGTGCATTCCGACTGCGTCACTCTGTCTCTCATCGTCTTGATCATTTGCGGATCTGTAATGCAGATGGTGTCATGATCTTGATTGGGAACAAGAAGCAAGCCTCTTTTCAAAACTGTCTTCCAGGTATGCATAATGCATGTGCCTGTTTTTTTTTGTTAGAATGGTCTATGATCTGAAACCTCAGAGCACTGTTTGTTTCCCTTCTACATACTAACAGATTATGATGCAGTTGTTTAGTCCTTTGATATTTGTTTTGCTCTCTTACAATTCTTTTTTGCTCTGTTCTCAATCTAAATCACTAACTATGTTCAACAGACAACAGCTAAGCTACCCCTATCAACCAAGCTTCTTCTCATCATGATATTGATCAGAAGGATTCAAATGTTCATATATATGTATCTCCAGAACTGCTGGTTATGTTGCAGGATATGGTATCCTAGAGTATTAAAAAAGTGGTCTCGTAGAAAAAAATTTGATGTTGATTGATGCAGAAAAAACATTGACATCTCAGTACCCATTTGTCAATCTGAATCACTGACTATGTTGGTTCATCATTGTTCAACCTGATAACAAAGGCACCATAAGATAAGATAGAGCTACTCTCTCTACCACTGTCTCTCCAGAGATGTCAATCTCTCCCTTAGCCCCACATTAATTAGCATACAAGACTAGGATGAACAAACTATTATTTATATCACAAATTCATCTGTAACAAGGGCTCACACACACTTTCATCTGAGTATATACATTCCAAAGCTTTTCAATTCTCCACACAGTTCATGAATCTGCTGAGAAAACTCGCGGAAGAAGGACAAGCTCAATCCAAGGTTACAGCCAATCGAGTAAGCAGCAGTGTCGGGTCATCTCTATCAAACTTATCTTCAATAGAAATCGTTTCCAGCAACACAAAAGATGACTTAGACTTAGCAAGATAAAAGAGGCGAATCAATCTTTGAGTTCCATTCACCTCTCTTTATGGTGTTGATCAGAGGGATTCAAAAGTATTACATTATATCTAGTAGCGCTGGTTTTTTATTGCAGGGGCCAAGAGTATAGAAAGTGGTCTTGTATGACAGACAAAGATTTTTTTATTTAGTTTAATGCAAGACAAAACACATGATGCATTGTACTCTGATGAAAAGAGAATTCGTGAAAAAAAGCACGTCCTCCTTATTCAGTGGATAAAAGATTGGTTTATTGATAACAATTATTGGTCTTTGGTAGCAAAAAAAATTGCTAGATTAAAGCATCTAGGAAGCAATATAGGAACTAAATTAAAGCATCTAAGGCTCGATCTTGACAATATCTTCAATAGATTTCCTATACTCCACAATCAAATCCCTGACCAAAAGATACAACAACACTAAGGTAAGAGCAAAATCAATATGATCAAGATAAAAAGTTGAAAACAATTTAGCTAACCTTCTTTGTTGAAGCAACTGCTCACTCTCTTCTACATTTCTCTTTTGGCCATCAACAGTCTGATTCAAACACAAAGAGATCCACAATAAGCACAAGATTAAACAGAGCCAACACAGAGTTTGTTCTGATCCAAAATGTTAGTAAACCTACCATAGTCTTAGATCCTAGCGATCCTGAAATCGAATTCAGCAACTGCTGACACTTTTCGAAATGGCTATTCAATTCAGTCACCTGCAAATTTACAATTCAATATCCAACAAGAATGAACCCTAGAAAATCTCATTAAAAAAAAAGACTGGATTTTTAACAAACCAGGGCATCAGAATTCTGATCTCGTGTTCCATTTTCAATGGCATCGGTTAATTTCTCCACCATCTGCGTTCATTAACACGAATATTATTATCAAACAGATTCCAATTCCAGGGGAAGAAACTGATAAAAATCCAATTTTTTAATTACTTACCGGATAAAGATGGAAGTGAGAAGCTAAAGACTGATGCTGTTGCGGAGTCTGCACCAACTGTTGCTGTTGTTGCGGTGTATGCATCATTGATTGAGGCGTATGAACCACCGTCTGCTGTGGCGGAGGCGATTGCAACGACTGCTGCGGCTGAGGAAGAGGAGGAGATTGTAACAAGCGTTGTTGCTGTTGTTGTTGTTGTTGGTATTGCTGTTGTTGAATGAAGTGTTGCTGTTGTTGGAATTGCTGAAATTGCTGCATATCTTGTTGTGGCTGGAACTGTTGCTGTTGTTGTTGGTGTTGTTGTTGAAGCAACTGATGTTGTTGTTGCTGCTGTATTTGTAATTGTTGTTGCTGGAGGAATAGCTGCTGGTCATGATTCGTCGGTGTACCGTAGTTACCCTGACCCTGCACGTTGGGGATCATCGACCAGTTACCACCTCCTCCTGAGAATTGATCCATAATTTCTCCTCCGATCTCACTTTTTTCGCCTTCTTCTCGTCGTTCGTTGTTTATATAAAGTAAGAAGCAGAGTTAAAGGCGGAATTCAGAAACGACGTCGTAAGCTAAGCGTATGAATCGCTCTTTAATGCAGGTTAAAAGCCCACGGACTTATCTTAGCCCATTTAGGTTTTTAATTCTCTCAAACGACGCAGTTTTAGGTTTCATCATCAATCGAAACAGACCGAAGAAGAAGCTTCTTCATTCCTAATTCCTTGTTCTTACAAAATTGAATTTTTTTCTTTTTCTTCAGTGGTTCAAAATTGAGAGCAGGTATGTGTTCATATAGAAACTGAGCTTTATTGTTGGGTTTGATCCGAAATTTTGAATTTTGAGCTTAATTATACTGTACACATAAGGGAATTTTATCAGTTCAACTTTTAAAAATTCTTCCTTTAAATTTTGATTCTTTTGATTCCAGCTTATCTCTTCCGTTCCACTGATGCGTTGAGAACATTTTTCATCTCACCATTTTTACTTATAGGTATCCTCAATTCTTAGTTTGAAAACTAAAAAAGAGCAAAACTTGTAGATGTTGATTCGATTTGAGATTGAAAATCAAGAAATGACGAATAGATAATTCGGTAGATGTTTTTAAATTCTGTATAGTGTTTTGTTACGATGCTTATATCGTCGTCTCAAAAATTGTTTTTTGAATTGACAGAACTCGGACACTACTTCACTTAAAGTAAGTACAGTACTTGTCTTCTCTTTAAGCTACGAAGATGAGGCTGTTGAAGGTTGCGACGTGTAACTTGAACCAATGGGCCATGGATTTCGAGTGCAACATGAAGAATATCAAGGCTTCCATCACCGAGGCAAAGGCTGCCGGTGCTGTCATCAGGCTTGGACCTGAGCTGGAAGTCACTGGTTATGGCTGCGAGGATCATTTCTTGGAGCTAGACACCATCACTCACGCGTATGCTTCTATTTTTCTTGCTGCTGAATCTACTAGTTCTTGGAATCATGTTTAACATATGTTTCTAATGTTCCTGTGAATATGTTTTTTCAGGTGGGAGTGTTTGAAGGAATTGCTGCTTGGTGATTGGACGGATGGTATATTGTGCAGCATTGGAATGCCTGTGATTAAAGGAGCAGAACGGTATAACTGTCAGGTTCTCTGTATGAACAGAAGAATCATCATGATTCGACCAAAGATGTGGCTTGCAAATGATGGAAACTATAGGGAGCTTAGGTGGTTCACGGCTTGGAAGCAGAGAGAACACCTCGATGAATTTCAGCTCCCTATTGAAATCTCTGAGGCTTTGGATCAGAAATCTGTTCCTTTTGGTTATGGTTACATCCAGTTTATCGACACGTGAGTTTGTATTTAATGCTGCCATTTCAACTTCGTCAATGATTTTTTTTATTGCGATTATTAATTGTATCAATTATATTTCCTTGTCAGGGCTGTTGCAGCTGAAGTCTGTGAGGAACTGTTTAGTCCACTTCCTCCTCATGCTGAGCTTGCATTGAATGGGGTTGAGGTATTTATGAATGCAAGTGGGAGTCATCACCAACTGCGAAAGCTAGATATCCGTTTGAATGCTTTCATGGGGGCTACTCATGCTCGTGGTGGGGTGTATATGTACAGTAATCAACAGGGATGTGATGGTGGCCGCTTATATTACGGTATGGTTGACAAACCTTAGAGGGAGTAACTGTTATCTACTTTTAAGTGACAGACCATCTTGATTTGTTCATTTTAAACCCAAGTGCAGATGGATGTGCATGCATTGTTGTAAACGGGGATGTTGTTGCTCAAGGCTCACAATTCTCGTTGAGGGACGTTGAGGTCATCATATCCCAAGTGGATCTTGATGCGGTATCCTACACCCTTTTGCTCTACTTTCTCCTGTTTTGTGATATATAAATGAAAAGTTCTTAGGACTATCTTGCTTCTTCGTCTGATAAAGGTTGCGAGTCTTCGAGGATCTATAAGTAGTTTCCAGGAACAAGCAAGCTGCAAGGTTAAAGTATCTTCAGTAGCTGTGCCCTGTAGACTGACACAGTCCTTCAATCTAAAAATGACACTGAGCAGTCCGAAGAAGGTTCTCTATCCTTAAGTATTTGATCCGAAGTTAACATTAATATTTTTCAATTCTAACATACATTAGTAATGTAGATCATGTACCACTCTCCACAAGAAGAAATAGCCTTTGGTCCCGCCTGCTGGATGTGGGACTATTTGAGAAGAAGTGGCGCTTCGGGGTTTTTGCTCCCTCTTTCTGGTGGAGCAGACAGCTCCTCCGTGGCAGCCATTGTTGGCTGCATGTGCCAACTTGTTGTTAAAGGTAAATTGGCACTTTATATATGTATGTTGAACTGTGTTTTTCTATGAAATTCCTTTATATTAAGTACTCTCAGAGTATATCTTCTTTCTCGTTTAGAGATTGCAAAGGGAGATGAGCAAGTAAAAGCTGATGCGAATCGAATTGGGAATTATTCTAATGGACAGTTTCCTACTGATAGCAAAGAGTTTGCCAAACGCATATTTTACACTGTCTTTATGGGGTCTGAAAACAGGTAAATTAGTTAACAGGAGCCAAGAATATGGGTTTTTGGTCATAACTGCCTGTAAACATGAAACTTTTGCCCATACTGAAATCTCAAATTTGCAGTTCTGAGGAGACAAAAAGGCGTGCAAAGCAGCTGGCAGATGAGATCGGTGCTTGGCATCTTGATGTGTGCATAGATGGCGTTGTCTCTGCGGTTCTAACTTTATTTCAAACGGTTACAGGCAAGCGACCTCGGTATAAGGTAAAGTGGGAATATACATTACCTAAACAAATAGTTGGAACAAACGAAGTATGATCATCTGGAAAAAGAGAAGAACAACAACAAATTGTGAAAATGGTTACTGATTTTGTGTCTTAGGTTGATGGAGGATCAAACGCTGAGAACCTTGGGTTGCAGAACATTCAAGCCCGGATGAGGATGGTGTTAGCATTTATGTTAGCATCTCTCTTGCCTTGGGTTCATAGCAAACCAGGATTTTACCTTGTTCTAGGCAGCTCGAATGTTGATGAAGGACTTCGTGGTTACCTGACAAAGGTAATGGAGTCATCTCCTTTTGCTGCGACATCTCAAATCGCATAGATTGCTAACAAATATATTCATTGTCTTGGTTGAAACAGTATGATTGCAGCTCAGCAGACATAAATCCCATAGGAAGTATCAGTAAAACGGATTTGAGGTTGTTCTTAAAATGGGCTGCAACGGATCTCGGATATCCATCCCTGGCAGAGATAGAAGCTGCTCCACCAACCGCTGAGCTTGAGCCCATTCGTTCTGACTATTCTCAGGTAATAACAAAACTATTTGTGAGTCGATATCTAAAGTTAACGAAGTTGTCAATTCAGACATTTTGAGTTTTGAAAACAGCTGGATGAAGTCGACATGGGAATGACTTATGAAGAGCTTTCAGTGTATGGAAGGATGAGGAAGATATTCCGGTGTGGACCAGTTTCTATGTTCAAGGTTTGATTTCCTGAAAGCTAGCCACATATGTTACTAAACCATGATACACTGAAACTGAAGCTGGTCTGTGATCCTGCAGAATCTATGTTACAAGTGGGGAACAAAGCTAAGCCCAGCAGAAGTAGCTGAGAAAGTGAAGTATTTCTTCAAATACTATTCGATCAATCGACACAAGATGACTGTCCTCACACCGTCCTACCACGCTGAGGTAATTACTTATCTGAAACGTATTTGAAACTATCTTGAGAGAAAGAAAAGTAACTCATTGGTTTTTTTTGTGTTGCAGAGTTACTCTCCAGAGGACAACAGATTCGATCTGAGGCAGTTTTTGTACAACAGCAGGTGGCCGTACCAGTTTAAGAAGATTGACGAGATAGTTGACGGCTTAAATGGCGACTCAGTTGCTTTCCCGGAAGAAGCAGGAAACTCCGAGAAAGAAGTTGGAGTTGTAGCAGCAAACTCTGAAGACCCAAGCGCGGGTCTCTGATGAAATATCATCCCACTAAACTCTCCCTCTATTTCAACCCAAAGTAGAAGTTAAAAAGACTGATATTTACACTTCAAAATAAGCATAGTAATTTTTCCAAATCACATACAGCAAATTGGAACATGTTTGTTACTACTTATACGATTAAATATGTATAAAAACCTTGCTTTCTATTTTCCTCTTCATAAAATCAATCTTGAGTATTGTGCAGTGGTTTGAAGAGTATTAACACCCACTAAATAAGTTTGAGGTGGAACTAAAATCCCAAGAAAAGTAAAAATGAAAGATTTCCTACTAATTAATAATTTAAATTGCGTATATTTATAAGATTTGAAAATAATATTAATTTTTTTGGTGGAAAGAAAATAATATTACTAGTTTGCTAAGAAATCATATTTTTTTAAAACATATTCAGTTTTAAAGAAAGAAATCAAAATTATACGGAATCGAAATGACAATAATTCTTTAATATATATATGGTTTCTTTTAATAGGAAATATTTTATCACATTTACACGGAAATCACGACACAATAATAAAACGATATATACAGAAATCACAACACAATTATAAACGATTTGAATAGTTTAATTGACTCTCTCAAACTTACATACACATAAATATATATACATAACCATGATCTAGCTCTTTTGCTGTCTTCACACCATAAAAATATATACAAAGAAAATGGCATTACTATCGTCAAAGCTTGGATTAATAGTGATTTTCGTCCTATGTTCTTGTCTCCTAGTTACTTCTCAATCAAAAGGTAACTATATAATGTATATATGTATCTCTAAGATCACAATCTAATAGCAAACAATTTATATTGTCTAACCTTGGTTTAACCGTACGTGTGGTACGTACGGTAACTAATGATAGATGTAAGAGGTGAGAAGGATGTTCATCCTCCAAGTTCGTGCGTGTTCAGAGGTCCATGTAGAAGCGATACAGATTGTAAGAGTCAATGCGGACCACCGGACTTCCCACCGTCGACACTTGGCTCATGCTTACCCAGTCCTAGAGGTCATGGCAACATTTGCTGTTGTACCAAAGATTATTAGTTCTCCCATACTTTAAACTATAAACAAAACCAAATGTTACTTTATATCATCGACTTCAAATGAATATTGATTTACTAGCTGTTTTTGGATGAAAACAAAAGAATCTTAAACGTACGTTGAACCTCTTCCAAACTCACTCTGGAGCTCTTGTAAGCTATTGCTTGAAATCAAGCGATGATATTTAATTTGGTCTCACTCCAACTTTTCTAATTGTCTCTAATTATTACAATATATGATTTTTAGTCACGTTCTTCATTTCATTTTAGTAATATAAATAAAAAGTAGCAAGTAAATCATCAAGTCTTAATGTAATAATGTTTTAGGTGGACATCTTTAATTATATGAAGATATATAGATTTATCCTTTGTTATCTTCTAGTAAAATTGATAGATAGTTAAATTTAGCCATTTAGGTTTATATAAAATACCTATATGTGATTCTTTTTAACCTTTTTGTAATCATCCAATCTATATTCTACTTTTTGTATCTATTCTTAATAGTATACACTTTAATTTTCTTGAAGATTTGATGACTATACAATACAGTATATATGGTTCCTTTTAATAGGAAATACGTTATTAATTTTATAAAGATATTAAACCCCTACTTTTAATTAATATGGACAGAAATCACAACACAATAAACAATTTCAATATTTATATGATACTGTCAAAGTTATATATATATATATATATATATGATCTTGCTCTTTACTTTCTTCACACCCAAAAAAAATTGTGTTGCTTCGGTAGAAACGCACCGAAGTGCTTCTCAATCAAAGCTTCGATATGGCATTATCAAAGCTTCGATATTTAATAGTCATCCTCGTCATATATTGTCTCCTAGTTGTTTCTCAATCAAAAGGTGATTAATATATGTTTTTCTAATCACAACTAAAATCTATTAAGGATCATATTCTCGTGTACCTTCTAATTAATTTTTGGTTTTGTTTAAAACATTGTTTATAATGAAATAGATATTGTAAGAGAGATCAATGCTATACATCCTCAATATTGCAACTATAGAGGTCCTTGTAAAACCCATAGAGATTGTAAGAGACCATGTGGACCTCCCGACTTCCCACCGGCGACTATTGGTTTATGCCAACCCACTCCTTGGGGTCATGGCAAACTTTGTTGTTGTGCCAAAGATTAATTTATTCATTTATTCTCTCATTGTAACCTTCTTTACTTTTAAATAACTATTTCATATGGTATTAAAGAAATTGATTTTGGATTTAACAAAAAAAAAGCATGTTTTTGGTTGTATTCGATCTATATATATGAACCAATGGTTTCAACTTTCAATCATACAAAATAAATGTTTGTTATTCACTACTTTAACACGTGCATGCGGAGGAGCAATAATCAAATTAAACGAAAAACGTTACTGACTGTAACAAGTATGTTGGTTTGATCTATATATATATACTTTGAGTACCATTTTCTTTAGTTCATATATATATCATAAATTATTAATACGCAAAGAGCTCTCTTATGTTTTGCATGCATGTGTAGCACAAAGTAAAATCATAAACACAATTAATTATACTACTAATAACATATAGGCGAATCGTAATTAATTTTCCTTTTTTTTTGTTGGTATAAACTTGCTTGCACCGTCCGTGACAGTTCTCCTTTCAACATATATGTTTGATTTAAACTAATTTTATAGAAAAGTCTCTATACATATACTTTAGATAATATATTAATCTTGGTGGCTATGTTGTTGTTCCTCTGAAGCAGAACTGTTGAGACAGTTGCCAAGATTATTAGCGAAGCTTAGAATCTCATTATGAGACATTAACGACCTTAGCCCCAAGAAATCCCTCGTCTCTCCTCCACCGTCGTCCACGACGTCGTTCTTGTCGTCTCCGGCTACAAAACCACCGTTGAAAGCTTCTTCTCCACCTCCGCCGTGATGATTCATCATGTAATAGTCTTGGAACCCGAATCCAGCTGGTCCAGATGGTGAAGTCATCATCTCGGCCATCGTAGTCGTGATCAAGTTATTATAGCTTGACCTTGACGGCTTCTCTTCTTCCTCTGGAGCTGTACTTGACTTCTTGGAACCCATTTGAGCAGCTTTCTGGAGCAAAGCCGTGGCTGACATAGCCGCCGACGGGTGGTGAAAGTTGGATCGTCCGGTGGGTGCAGAAGAAGCAAGAGGAGGGAACAAATTACCATTATTGCTGCTGCCATTAGGGTTATTAGGGTTCGATGAAGCAAGCCAAGGAGGGATGTTTTGGAAGTGATGATGTGACTCTTCTTGCTTCATAGGAGGAGCATGGAGATTATTGCTGCTGATCACGTTTTGGGATGAAGTAGAGAAAGTGATGTTCTGCTGTTGTGTTTGATGATGGCCATGATGAGAAGGAGAAGCTGAAGATTGTATGAGAATAGGGTTTGGTATGGCTCTTGCACTCTCTTCTGCTAACGCATCGCAAAATGCTCTATGAGTTATGAAACTATCCCTCCTGCAAATGCAATAATAATTCCACAAAATCAAAACATTATTAAGATTTGATGACTTTATAAAGTAAAACACAAAGACTTTTTCGTGGTTTTTTGTAGGTCCAACTAAAGCATGCATTATTTGTGGGGTGTGTCACGTGTGAATAATAATAAGATGATAGATCAATGTGCAATAAATGTAAGCCGTATATATATATGTAAAGGATTCCGATATTATAAGGAAGGACTCCAGCAAAAAAATAAAATAAAAAATACAACAACTTAGAAACAAGTACCACAATAATAAATAGTTGTTTAAATGTAGATTCTTTGAGCTACTTAATATTAATTACCATGTTTGTCCTATTCAAAATTCATAAATGAAACTAGCTAGTATCATAAACCCCAACAGATGCATGCTACCGTAGTATTTTATACTATGTGTCACTCGTTTTCACATTACTCTTGTAAAATAAACTTATAGACTTAAGTAAGTATTAATGCACAAGTTTCATTAAAAACATAATCGAGTCATATTAATTATTAAATGGTAATGTGTGAAAGAGTATTTTTTTACCTAGAAAAGAGAGTTCCACAGTCGCATTTGTATTCTTTAGTGCCACAAGTCTTAGCATGAGCTTTCCAATCTGATTGAACAGCATATTTCTTCGAGCACTTTTCACATTTCCATTTTTTCTCGCCATGTTTTCTGAAGAAATGCTTCTTGATTCCGGTCAAGTCTCCGAGAGCTCTCGAGGGATGGTTATGGACACAGCCTGGCTCTGGACAGATGTAAACTTTCTTCCTAACCACGTCTTTGTTTGATCTTTGCTTAAGCTTCCACGGTAGATTGTGTCCTCTCTTGTGGAGTTGCAAGTTCTGGTCTCTTTGAAAACCTTTGTTGCAGACCTCACATATGAATCTGTTTGTCGCCATTAGTGTTTTTGGTGATAAAGCCATCACTTCTGCTTCAGGGTCTGACCAAACAAAGTACATAAACTAATTACTTCTTGACTCATATAACAAAGAAACAAATTAACTATGGTAAAGTTTGGATTTTTATTTGGTTTTTTACCCATTGTGATAGTAGAGATGAGAAAGATGACAAAGTTAAAAGGGTAAAAGAGAATATTCGGACAGTACCCATAATTCAGAAAAAACAATAATCGATGATATATATCAAATAATTATAAAATGAATACGTCCAAAAATAAAAACCAAGAAAGTTTTGATTTTTCTTCTTCTTCTTCATCGTCATCATCAAAGTATATATCAAAAACTAAATTTACCTGGATTTCCTGGTTGATTTCTCTTCCTCTTGATAGATGATTGAGGAACAAAACACTGTTCTTGTTGGTGAATAAGGTTAGAGCCACTAGTTTCAGTTCTGTTTCCGGAAGACACACTTGCTTGATCTCCTGAAGCAGATGTTAGATTCGACATGTTCTCTTCCACTTGTTGTTGTTGTTGATGAAATATCATCTCTCTGTTCATCATCATCCTTAAAAACAAACAAAAACAAAAACTTTAGCTAGTAAAAAAGAAAGAGAGAACTAAAACCTTTTTTTTTTCAGATCTATGTACAGACAAAGAGTAGTGGAGAAAAAACATAAGCAGAAACATCCAAGAAACTAATGAAACCCATGATTCTATCTTAAAAGAAACTGATAAAAAAAATATTAAAAGTTTCTTGTTTTGGTTTCAACGCAAAGAGACAACCTTTGGTTTCTTTTACTTGTCGGAAGAACCAAAAAAAAATAATAATAAAACTCAGAATCCAAGAGATGTGAATAGAGAGAAACCTGAACACAAGAAAACCAGATTTTTTTGTTGGGTTCTTGTTCATTTCTCAAAACATGAACAACAAGAAGCTCTAAATTTTAACAAGAAAAATCCAAAATAAAAAAACATAGAAAACTCCAACAAAGAACTACTATATACACAAGACGAATAACAAACAGTGAGAAGAAATAAATTAATGAACCAAGCAGAAGGAAGAAAATACAAAAAGAAATACCTAAAGCTAGAAGAAGAAGAAGAAGGAGAGAGACGAGAGAGGGGAGATTGTGGATGAGAGAAAAAACTCTTATTAATTATCTCTCTCTCTCTCTTTCTCTTTGAAACTTATATATTTCTCAGAACAAATAAGTGAACCCTACCGCTAATAATGAAAAAAAAAAAAAGCAAAGATGAAAAATAAAACTCTTCTGGAGCTTTTGTCATTTTCTGTCTTTTTATTTTATTAATTTTACTTACTTACACACAGAAGCTCACAGAGACTCAGAGCAGTCTGTCCATTTTTATAATTATTATTTGACTGTAAATTATATTTTTTGCATTAACATTTGTCTATAGAGGTGGGCCAAAAAAAAAAAACTTTTTTGTCACAGTTGTGTGAAAACTGAAAAGCTTGCAAGCAGAAAGAAAGAGAGAAGAGGAGGAGAGTTTATAATTTTGTACGTTTCTCGAGATAGTGAGAAGACAACATGTTTTGTTTGAATTGAATTCGTTTTATTTTATAATTATATATAGTGCTGCATGCACTATTATTACATTATTGATTATGATGTTATTTTCCCTAGGGAGTTATTGATATTTTCATTATTATTATTTTGACTATTCAAGTCTTCATCATTGTACTCATTTTTATGGGAGAAATCATGTAAAATTTATTGGTTTCCACTTTTGTGACAACATTGTCAAATCTGTATTTAATCTACAGAATATTTTGATGTGTGAGTTTTTAGGAAACTTAAAAAAAAAAAAAAAGACTATCTAAGCAAATTTGCTCAACAGAAAGGTTGAATCTAAATTGAATAATTCATATTCATCCTCCTAATGCAGTTTTAATGGTGTCTTTTGTCAGTTATAAAGTTGTGAATACTTAGTTTTTTTTTTTTTTTTGTCGCCATGAATACTTAGATTTACAGTACCAAAAAACTTGATTGATTCATTGATTAAAGAGGTAAAAGGTTAACTTTTGTTGTTTCTTTGGGGATTCATTTTTGAGGCTTTTCATGTGAAAAGAAAAAAGAGAAAGAAAGAATAATGGATTAAACCTTTAATTACGTTGTAAACAAAAAAAAAAAAAAGAGTTAGTAAGTCTCAGTGACACATGCCCTAACCTACTTTATGATCTACATCGAGCTATGGACACAAATCATTGACATTTTTTTATTTTTGAATTTTTCTCTTAAAAGTTAAAACAAATGATAAGTATTAATCTATGATATTATATTTCATACGTAGACCGTGGTCGGTCCAAGGTCGTAGACTAGACACCACTAATCTCTCCCTATCTTATCTACATTTTTTAATTAAAAGAAAAAAAAGATATACTGACCATCCAAATTAAAACTTTGAGTAATATTTGCAACCATATTAATAGTCTAATCCATGTTTTGAAAAAAATCAAATCAAATCAAAGTGGGTACACATTTGGAAATTTGCATTTTTTGTAATGGTCTGAAATGTACCGCTACATCCGATTTTGTATTTTATGAGAAGCACATAAGAACAAATATTTTTAAAAAGAAAAAAAAAAAAAGAAGGAAGAAATTTCATGAATTAATATGTTGTCCACTCACATCATAGAGTCATTCTATTTGTATTTGGTGACAACCATGCATCCATAATGTGAAACTTTTGATTATAAATCCTCATGCTATTTTATTTCATTTTTATACATAAAATTAGGTGGCTAAACGAAAACTAATCAAATTTTATCCATTTTGGACAATTTTTTTATATAATATAAGTGTTTTCCTGGTAGCAATCCTAACTAGTATCGTTTTAGTTTTCAAGACCACCGCTAAAACTCCAATTCGTAGCTATCCCCCCATTACAAAACTACACACATTTGTCTGTTTACTCCAATCCGGTTGTGTTCTATATATTTCCATATAATTCGTCACCAGAATATAACTACGTACATAGTAGTAGGTGATGATTTGCAACAGTTATATAGGTCAATGCGAACAAAATCAGGTCCTGTCTCCACGTCGGCAACGCGTGGCTCCGGATTTATTTTACAATCATAATAATATATATATCTCAGACTTATATAAGAAGACTAAAAATAGTTGACAACTAAAAATATGCAAAAATGAAAATAATAATTAGATCCGCCGAAACTAATTTTTATAGAATTAACTCCATCATGTTTTGGTTTGAAAAAAAAATATGGGTAGGGTGTAGTAGCTGTCTAGTTTTATCCACGTTTGGTAACATGCTACTAAACGATGTTTAAAAGAAAAAACGTAAATCATTAAACAAATAAAGAATTATATGAATATTTTTTTCATTAGCACCTAATTAGTTAACCTTTATCCAAATGTCGTTATCGGCCTATAATCATAGACTTATATAAGCAGTCATTAGTTTGAACGATTAAGACATACTAATATTTATTTGTTTTAAAATTTACATCGTCTAATAATTGTATAATAAAGCATTATTTATTATACTTGTTGTGGAAATGGCATTATGTAAAGTATTACTGACTACTGCAAACATAATTAGGGGAGATGAGAGAGGGGAATCTCATCTAATCTACAGACATAGCCCACATAGGTGAAAGTGAGAGGTCGATGAAACCGTAGGAAGACCCAAGAACACGTGGCGTGTTATAATTGGGATTGTACGCTAAGCTAAAAAAACGAGTCATGATTGGTGTTTTTTTTAAGAGTCTTCATCAGTTCTGTGTGGAAACACGCGGTCAGAGACCACCTTTCCGAACAACCCTTCCCAATTGTTTCCGTTTCCGGTCTTCTTCTTCGATACGTCGCCGTTCTCTTGTCCCTACCAACCACTCAAAGCCATTTAAACCGGTGGTTCTCTCCCGACCTGTCCAAACCACCTATTCACTCTTTAATTATTGCAAACAAGCTCGATTGGTTTCGGTTTAGTTTTATTTTTATAAAAAGGTAAATCCAAATCATATGTCTTTTAAGGATTTTGCATACATTATTTCATTTTTGTTTTGGTCCGGTTGAGTTTTTGGTTTATGGGCTTCGATCTTTCTCCTCAAACCCATTAGAGGCCTATTTAGACAGAGAGTAGGAAGATAGAGTCCGTTGCTTTAATCAGTGTTTTTTTGGAAATATTGTATGGTTGATTGACTCAATTGGTCATTGGATTAAGATTAATTAATCGACTGGTCTTTGATTAATGGATTTATATCTGCACTTACGTGCCCACTTGTACATTACTAATCTCTTAACCATGTGTGTAATAAGATAAACCAATCTAATTACTTTAATTAACTCATTTACAATTATTAATTTAGCCGTTAACACTTCGTACTTAAACATCATCTCTATACCGAACAAAGATAGAGAGAGAGAGAGAGAGAAACAGAGCAACAATGGCGAAAGTAAATCGCTCCAACATTGGTCTCTCACTGTTATTATCGTTGTTGCTCTGCAGCTTTATCCCCGATCTTGAAGCTTCTTCACATAAAGATCTCAACCAACCGTACCGGACCGGTTATCACTTTCAACCTCCTAGCAATTGGATGAACGGTATGTACCGTACCGATCTTGATCTAAATACAAATCCATCGGTATATGTAATTCGATCCTCTAAATTAACATACTCTATTATCTGTTGACTCCGTTATGCTCGATGAAATCCAATTCGACCAACAAAAAACTCCAGATCCTAATGGTTAGTTCTCCTTTATTCATATTTTAAAAATATATAATTATTAAATCATTATTATACAAAATACGTATTTTTGTCTCTCTTTTTTTTTGGGTAGGGCCAATGATATACAAAGGAATATATCATTTATTTTACCAATATAACCCATACGGTGCTGTTTGGGATGTAAGAATCGTCTGGGGACACTCCACGTCAGTTGACTTAGTCAACTGGACTCCACAGCCTCCAGCTTTCAGTCCATCTCAGCCGTCAGATATCAACGGCTGTTGGTCAGGCTCGGTCACGATTCTCCCCAACGGCAAACCTGTTATCCTCTACACCGGCATTGACCTTAACAAGAGTCAAGTTCAAAACGTCGCCGTTCCGGTTAACGTCTCTGATCCGTATCTCCGGGAATGGTCTAAACCTCCGCTAAACCCTCTTATGGCGCCTAACTCGGTCAACGGAATCGACCCGGACCGGTTTCGAGATCCAACCACCGCGTGGCTCGGACTTGACGGAGAATGGCGAGTCATCGTCGGAAGCTCGACGGACGATCGTCGAGGGTTAGTGATTCTTTACAAAAGCAGAGATTTCTTGAATTGGACGCAATCGACGACACCTTTGCATTACGAAGACTTAACCGGAATGTGGGAATGTCCTGATTTTTTCCCGGTTTCGATAACCGGATCGGACGGTGTTGAAACGTCGTCAGTTGTTCAGAATGATGTTAAGTACGTGCTTAAAGTGAGTCTGATTGAGACATTACATGACTATTACACGATTGGGAGTTACGACCGTGAGAAAGACGTGTATGTGCCTGATCTTGGGTTTGTGCAAGATCGATCAGCTCCGAGGTTAGACTACGGGAAATATTACGCGTCAAAAACGTTTTACGATGATGTTAAGAAACGAAGGATCTTGTGGGGTTGGGTTAATGAATCTTCTCCGGCTAAGGATGATATTGAGAAGGGTTGGGCTGGTCTTCAGGTGCGTTTTAGTTTTCCCAGCATTTAACAGGTGTTTACAGATTCTTGAATCAACTTAACCTGTGTTTCTTTTTGTAATCTTGATTTGACAGTCATTTCCGAGGAAGATATGGCTCGATGAATCGGGAAAAGAATTATTACAATGGCCGATTGAAGAGATTGATACATTGCGTGGGACACAAGTCAGCTGGCAAAACAAAGTTCTTGAAGCAGGATCTACTGTCCAAATTCATGGTGTCACTGCTGCACAGGTAGGACTCGATCCTTATTCTTTAACTTAGACCACTCTAATGGGAACTGAATCGACCTTTAATATTGTTTTTTTTTTGGTATTGAGCAGGCAGATGTTGAGGTATCGTTCAAGGTAAATGAATTGGAGAAAGCGGATGTGATTGATCCGAGTTGGACCGACCCACAAAAGATATGTAGGGAGGAAGATTTGTCGGTTAAGTCCCGTGTAGGACCATTTGGTTTGATGGTTTTGACATCCAGTGACATGGAAGAGTACACGTCGGTTTACTTCAGAATCTTCAAGTCAAATGATAGTAATAAGCATACTAAGTATGTGGTGTTGATGTGCAGTGACCAGAGCAGGTATTTAAAATCTCTTGCATAGATCAAAAGACACATTTAGATTCTTTTGATAGTTTCATAAAATGTAAACGAAAATAACTCGTATTTGGTACTCACAGATCTTCGTTGAATGAGGAAAATGATAAATCCACGTTTGGTGCTTTTGTGGGGATAGACCCTTCTCAGCAGACACTTTCTCTTAGAACTTTGGTAAGTCTTATAGTATATGAAAGATATTTCCATAAACAAGTGTCTTGTATCAAGGTGAGTATACTTCAGTAGATGCATATACTAGGGGATTGATGAATGTTTTCTTTTTTTTTTGTTTGTAGATTGATCACTCGATAGTGGAGAGTTACGGTGGAGGAGGCAGAACATGTATAACCTCAAGAGTGTATCCAAAGTTGGCAATTGGAGAAAATGCAAATCTTTTTGCCTTCAACAAAGGAAGCGAAAGTGTTGATGTCTTGAGCCTAAGTGCTTGGAGCTTGAAGTCTGCTCAAATCAATGACGAGTCGATTTCACCATTTATTGAGCGTGAAGATTCACACTCACCTAAACAGTCATGAGTGCATATATATAGTACTACATTACATTGTACGGGGACACCATAATAAAATAAGAGACCACACACATATTTGTGATATCAATATTCTTGAACATTTTACTATTCAATTCAAACTTTGAAGATTTTTTTTTCTTTCCGTTGTGTATCTTATTCCTACGCAAAAGATTATACAGTTTTTTTTTTTTTTTTCATTTGAGCTTAAGCTATTTCATTGTTAAAGTAAAAATATTTTTCCTAAAATGAATGAAACAAACTCAAAAAGAGCATGTAGTAAAAAAATAGAATATTAATTTTTTTCAACATTATTTATTTATTTATTTCTGAAATAAAAAGAGTTGGTAATATATTGTGAATTTCATTTCACATTTTTTTTTTTTTTTTGTCATCAAATAAAAAGTTAACTCAAATGAGCCAACTTGACGGACAATTGTTTACAAACTTAATCAAATGCGGACTGTAACGAGCTTTGCGTGCCAAGTAATCCGCTTTTACATTCAGATTTCTAGGAATAAAAGATAAAGAAAAAGATGAGAATTCTTCCTTATCATTCTTGATATCCTCCAGGTAGACAGAGAAAGCCGGCCATTCGTGAGGAGAAGACACCATCTTCACCAAGTCCGAACAGTCGGTAAGAAAAGCAACTTCTCTGAAGTCATGGCCAATCATGCATCGCATCGCCCACACCAGAGCTTCTACTTCCGAATGAAGAGGGGAAAGACTTCTTCGTAGGTTAGAAGCTCCCATCGTCGTGGAAGAATCATGTGCATGCTGACAAAACCATCCTAAACCTGCATACATATCTGTGGCCTTCCAAGACCCGTCAATGAAACAATGATAACCCGGAAACCTGGAAGGTATAGAACTCGGTAACCCAGGCATAACATTATCACCTACGGGGCCCTCCCTCGTAGTATTGGAGTCATCTAATTGTGCATCATACCAAGTACGAGCTTCATCTGTAGCTAGCCGGACGACATCCGAAGGGTTTTTATCTAGATTATCAAAAACCATATCATTTCTGGACTTCCAGATGTACCACAAAATCCAAGGACAAAACCTATACTCCTCCTTTACTAGTATACGCAAAATATAGTCCATATTAGCAAAAACAGAAGCCGTAGGGAACCCAATAGGCCCTACTGGGACGTTCGCTAATGCCCAAGTTTGCCGAGATGGTGGACAATCAAAAATTACATGATTGACCGTCTCCATTGGGTCACCACATCGTCCACATCGCGTATCACAATTAATTCCCCGTTGACTCAAGTTGGCCAAAACAGAGATGCAACCTGTAAGTAATTGCCACATAAAATGATGAAGTTTAGGTGGACACCTAACTTTCCATATACCTGCTAATAACGGAATGATATCTGGGCCGCACACTTGCGGAGTTGACATTTGTAGTGTTTGCATTCTGGCAGCATAATAACCGGATCTAACCGTATATCTCCCATTCTTTGTGAAATGCCACCCGTAAGAATCTGTGATCGGACAATTTCCAATTGGGAGAGCATTTATCAACGAACTATCTTCCTGAGTGAAGTGCTCCTGTAACACATCTAAATTCCAAGAATTTGTTTGACGATCAATTAAATGACGTATGTGAAGTGAGGGATCCATAATTGATCCATTACTCTTAGCTGGTCTCGGGAATTGAGCTGGAATCCAAGGGTCCGTCCAAACGGATATAGAATCCCCTGTCCCAACTCTTTTAATGAGCTCTTTCATAACCAGAGATCTAACTGATACCATGCTCCTCCATCCATACGATGGGGAATACGATTTGACTTGTTCCATTGGAGTTGCATTCCTATAGTACCGGCCCTGAAACACCTTTGCAAATAGAGAATTTGGGTAATCAATCAACCTCCAAAGCTGCTTTGCTAACATCGCTGTATTGAAATCATTTACATCGCGGAAGCCTAACCCACCACTACACTTGCTAGAGCACAATTTATCCCATGCTCACCAGTGCATTCCCCCAGAGTAACCATTTGAACTCCACCAAAACTTTGCCACTGCACTTGTCACATTTATCTAAAACAAAACAAATACAGTAAACAGAAAAATAGATGAAGCGACATCGTTTTGACATAGAAAAAACGCTTTCTTCTTGCGTTAGCTTAATCTGCCCACTGCTCTCGGCTACTTTGTTCTATCTGAGACTGAGAGAAGCGTCGAGGTTGAGGAAGAAGAAATCAACGAACATGGCGATCAGGATTCGGATCTACGGCATTCTCTTAATCCTTGTATTCTTGTTCTCTACTATTCGCGCTTTTTACCTTCCCGGTGTCGCTCCTCGCGATTTTCAAAAGGTACTGTTTTGGTAATTCCGATCTCAGGTTTGATGGCGCTATCGATCTAGGGTTTCTCATGTTAATTTCGATTGGTTTGGCGTAATCCAATCTAGATCCGTGGGAAATCATTTCGTCTATTATTGTCGTCCAAGGATTCTTTGAGCGTTATTGAGTGTATAGGAGTATTATTGCCAATTTGACAATGTAGGGATCTGTGTTATTGAATTTATAGGATTGAATGTTAGAATCAGTTTATGGTGATTCATGTTGAAGCTTTTTGAGCTCATGATTTTCAAACCTTGCTTGTGCTGTGGTTACAGGGTGATCCTCTTTATGTCAAAGTGAACAAATTGTCGTCTACAAAGACTCAACTTCCTTATGATTTCTACTACCTTAATTACTGTAAGCCTCCCAAGATCTTGAATACCGGCGAAAATTTGGGGGAGGTTCTCAGAGGAGATCGCATTGAGAATTCGGTTTATACTGTAAGCAAAAAAAACTTATATGATTTTTCTTCTTCCTTCTCATCCTTGGATTTGGTGTTGAGACTTTGGATTCTATTTCAGTTTGAAATGTTGGAGGATCAGCCCTGTAGAGTAGGTTGCCGTATTAAAGTCGATGCTGAGTCTGCTAAAAATTTCAGGGAAAAGATTGATGATGAATACCGAGCTAATATGTAAGTTTAGGTATATGCTGTCCGTGATTCGTGTCAAGTAATTTTTATTGATTCTTTCAATTTTTATTATGAAATGACTCTGCAGGATTCTTGATAATCTTCCGGTAGCTGTTCTTCGACAAAGAAAAGATGGAATTCAGTCAACGACTTATGAACATGGTTACCGTGTTGGCTTCAAAGGGAGTTATGAAGGGGTAATACGTCTCTTAAACCTATGACTACAGTCTTACCTTTTAAGCATTTTCTTGTACCAATCAGGAGTAGTTTCCTTTGCTTTTGTAGAGTAAAGAGAAAAAATATTTTATCCATAACCACTTGAGTTTCCGAGTCATGTACCACAGAGACCAAGAGTCTGACTCTTCTCGCATCGTTGGTTTTGAGGTTACGCCTAACAGGTATTGTCTACTTGGTTATCATCAACATTTATTGATGAGTATGATTTGGTCTCAATTCTTACTAGCTACCTCTTTTTTCTTCTCTCTTTTTGGTTAGTGTATTGCATGAGTACAAAGAGTGGGATGAAAAAAATCCTCAGTTAACAACATGCAACAAAGACACAAAGAATCTGATCCAAAGCAACACTGTTCCTCAAGAAGTTGAGGAAGGAAAAGAAATTGTGTTTACGTATGATGTCACCTTTAAGGTAACTAACTTACCTTTGAGAGCTCTTTATTTGCGCTCTGTAAACATATTATGACGATTGAAATATGCAGGAGAGTGAAATCAAATGGGCTTCGCGATGGGACACATACTTGCTGATGAACGATGATCAAATCCACTGGTTTTCAATCATAAACTCGCTTATGATTGTCCTTTTCCTCTCTGGAATGGTAGCGATGATCATGATGAGAACTTTATATAAGGATATTTCAAACTACAATCAGCTCGAGACCCAAGACGAGGCTCAGGAAGAAACTGGATGGAAACTTGTACACGGAGATGTCTTTAGGACTCCCGTGAACTCTGGATTACTTTGTGTATACGTTGGCACAGGTGTTCAGATTTTTGGCATGACCCTTGTGACAATGATGTTTGCATTGCTGGGTTTCTTATCTCCATCCAACAGAGGAGGGCTTATGACTGCCATGGTTCTCTTATGGGTATTCATGGGTATCTTCGCCGGTTACTCCTCTTCTCGGCTTCACAAAATGTTTAAAGGGAACGAGTGGAAACGAATCACCTTGAAGACTGCATTCATGTTTCCTGGTATACTCTTTGCAATCTTCTTTGTTCTCAACACACTTATATGGGGAGAGCGATCATCTGGAGCCATCCCCTTTGGTACAATGTTTGCTCTGGTGTGTCTCTGGTTTGGAATCTCTGTCCCACTAGTCTTCATTGGTAGCTATCTTGGCCACAAAAAACCAGCAATTGAAGACCCAGTCAAAACAAACAAGATCCCGAGACAAGTACCAGAGCAACCTTGGTACATGAAACCTGGTTTTTCAATACTAATTGGAGGAATCCTTCCATTCGGAGCAGTCTTCATCGAGCTTTTCTTCATCCTAACATCGATCTGGCTCAACCAATTCTACTACATCTTCGGATTCCTTTTCATAGTGTTCTTGATCTTGATCGTGACCTGCGCAGAGATCACAATTGTCCTCTGCTACTTTCAGCTCTGCAGTGAAGACTATAATTGGTGGTGGAGAGCTTACCTCACATCAGGCTCATCCTCACTCTACCTCTTTCTCTACTCCATTTTCTACTTCTTCACAAAGCTTGAGATCTCAAAACTCGTCTCAGGAGTGCTCTACTTCGGGTACATGATCATCATCTCGTACTCGTTTTTTGTGCTAACCGGCTCAATCGGTTTCTACGCATGTTTATGGTTTGTCAGAAAAATCTACTCCTCAGTGAAGATTGACTGATTAGAGTAAGCGACATTACTTTTGATGCCTCTTGAGGTTTGTTGGATGGTTTAGTCGTAGTTGAAACAAAAAAAAAGTTTACCAAATCTTTGTATTGTTTTGATGAATGGATCCTATATTCAAAACAATTTCAATCATACAGCCTACAGAGTTATGCATATAACAACAATATAGTAAAGTTTCTCTTATTTAAAAGATAGTTTATGCTTGGCCTCTTTAATCATTCTCTCTGTTGAAGAACCACTTGAAAATCCTAGCTTCTGCATCATTTCTTCCAATCTTTTCCCGTTAGATAGATACAGATATCCAATCTGATAAATTGAACAAACAACGGATTTAACACAAGGTAAAAAGCAACAAATTTGTATTATTTACTTGTGAGTTTCAAGCTTACTAGTGTTTCCAATGATGAGGCCTTGTTGTAAACAGCCACACCAGCACGCCTAGTTGACCGTGTTTTAACCGAGCCTACATTTTTTCCCCACCGGAGGACATCTCTGGAGCAAAAATTTCCATCACATCGATCAATATTTGCTAACTCAAACAAAAAAGCTTGGAACTTGTGTATTATGTGATTTCAATAATTATAATGTTTTAATATCTTCATGCATCTTTCACACAAATGGAGAGATGGTCTAAGACAAAAATCTTGATGCTAAAATATGTATGAATGTGCCTGCTAAATAACAGGTTTTTGCAACTGACCTTTCATCTTTCGTTAAGAAATCATCATCAACAAGCTTCTGCAACAAAGCATACTGAAAAAGAAAGACACTGAATACTTTAGATTCAACAAGAACAATGATAACAATACCAATGCTAATACATTTTTTCAGGTTAAAAGTAGATGGAAGAGAGACACAACAACTTCACACATAGAATGATATCACAAACATAATAATGTGAACAAAGATACATGGAAGTGAAAGCATGTATTGTTAATTTCTACAATGAACATTATAGCAATTCACAAAAGGGAAGAAAGATAAACTAACGTACCTGTGCTTCACATCGAACCACTGCTCTAACACGGTCGTTATATTCTTCGATACTAAGTGGAGGGAAAAGAAAATGCCGACGAGCATATATCTTCAAAACCAATAGAAAATGGTTAAAGATAGAAAATTGAATGGAGTATCAACAGAGTGTCTGTCTTAATGTCACAAACACTGTCATCTTAACATTGTCTAAAGTCACAAACACAAGCTCATGGTGACTATCTTAGAGCTATAAACTTGTCTAAAATCAGGAAGCTCAAACTCATAGTGATTCTTTACCGCTAGAAATACTAAAATGATCATAATTTGACATACTTACATCCACTAACATACGAAAATTGAAACAACTAAGTACAAAAGCCTTGTATAAAATCACTGAAGAAACAAACGAAAATTGGAATTGAAGAAGACTAACCTCGTAGATTGAATCGCCTATATAAGCTAAAGAAGCAGCATTGAAAACAGATCTAGGTTTCTCCACTTTTGGTGGACTTGGAAACCATTTCTCATATCCAATACAAGGATCATCAAATCCATCACCAATGTCTAAACACAAAACCAGAAATTTAGTAAGAATCTTGAACTGAACAAAACAAAAAGGAATAGTTCTGAACAGTTCTTCATTGAATTCCGAAAATTATAGAAAGTATCCCAATACGCTACCTTTGCTTGCGGGACGTTTGAGCAAATCAGAAGCGGAGACGCTTGCTTCAGTTGTTAAGTTTGTCGCCGGAGAAGATGACGACGGAGACGGTGGTGGCACAAAAGAGCTCAAATTAGGGGTTTTCTTAACGTTTCGCGGCGCATTGGGATTGTATCGGAGCTTCGGCTGTGTATCTAAAGCAGCTCTCACGATAGTAGAGCTCGCTGATAAAATCGCCATTGTTTTTTAAAAAATTCAGCTTTTTTTTCTCTCCCTGTTTTGACGGTAATAAAGATGAGGCGGTGACTTTGATTAATCCACGTGGCGTGTTTTTATTTGTTTGTTTGACAAAGATAAATACAGACTAGCGTAGTTTTAGCAATACGAGCTTGTCTCTCTCTCTCTCTTCTGGCACTCTTTCTCTGTCTCTCTCGTCCCAATTTGTAAAACCCTAACGACTAGATTTCAGTTTCCCGTAACTTATTTTCTCAACTTTCCGATCAGATTTCTTAGTCGGAGATACTGATTCGGCCACCATCATGAGTCGCTACGATAGCCGGACCGGCGATTCCACCTCTTATCGTGACCGTCGAAGGTAAGTGTGTGTTTGCTTTCGTATTAAATTCGACTTAATTGCTAGTGTTGCTCTTTGTTTTTGAATCTGTGATTGAACGAGTATAAAGAAAATTCTCTTAATTATGATCGAATTTCTGGGCTTTAAACGAAGATTTCTGTAATATAATGATGCGTTTTCAATTCTGTATGGTGTGTTGGAGAAGAAGAGTTTGCTTCATTTTCAAATTTGCTTGTTCTTAGTGACTCAGGGTTTGGTGGTACTTCAGCATATGGGAGTTCAGGTAGTCATACATCTTGCAAAAAGGATACTGATGGCTCTCCAAGGAAGCTAGATTTAGATGGTTTGACTCCTTTCGAGAAGAATTTCTATGTCGAATCACCCGCTGTGGCTGCTATGACAGACTCAGAAGTGGACGAATATCGTAAGCTGAGGGAAATTACTGTTGAAGGCCGAGATATTCCCAAACCTGTCAAGAGTTTTCGTGATGTTGGCTTCCCTGGTAAACTTCTCTAGCTTGACTTTTGTTTCATTTTCTTTCGGCTCTTGAATTTGGCAATCATGTTAGGCATTTATAGACTGTAATCAGTTTCACTTACATGTCTTTATAGACTGTAATCAGTTTAACTTCTCTAGCTTGACTGTTTTTTCTGTGTGTGTGTATACATCTACTGATAAGAATTTCCTGATCGCCCCAGATTACGTTTTGGAAGAGATTAAGAAGGCTGGTTTTACTGAACCTACGCCTATACAATCTCAGGGGTGGCCAATGGCAATGAAGGGACGTGATCTTATTGGCATTGCTGAAACTGGCTCTGGAAAGACTATTTCCTACTTACTACCTGCAATAGTCCATGTGAATGCCCAACCAATTTTAGGTAATGCTTGTTCCTGCTCGTTAAGTTATTTTTCTTCCGGTTCTTGTTTGATAAGTTGTCAAGGCTTTACTGATTCAGAATAATTATTCTCAGCTCCTGGGGACGGCCCAATCGTCTTGGTTCTCGCTCCGACACGTGAACTGGCTGTGCAGATACAGCAAGAGGCATCTAAATTTGGCTCATCATCAAAAATTAAGAGTACATGTATTTATGGTGGGGTTCCAAAAGGACCTCAAGTGCGAGATCTTCAGAAAGGTGAAGTACTTTGACTCCTGCTTTTCGTGACATTTCTCAAACTATCACTCTTCTTACTTTCTTTTTTGTGGATTATTCTGATAGTGATTATTGGCCTATGATTTAGGTGTGGAAATTGTTATAGCTACTCCTGGGAGGTTAATAGACATGATGGAGTCGAACAATACAAACCTGCGAAGGGTTACTTATCTTGTGTTGGATGAGGCTGATCGAATGCTGGATATGGGGTTTGACCCTCAGATTCGGAAAATTGTTTCACATGTTCGTTTTCTTACTTCTGTCATGGTCACATATTGACATATATGTATATCCTAGTTGCCCTCTCTTTATATCTTTTTTAACATGTGCAGATTCGGCCAGACCGTCAAACTTTGTACTGGAGTGCTACTTGGCCTAAAGAGGTCGAACAACTATCCAAGAAGTTTCTTTATAACCCGTACAAAGTAAAAGACTTCTCTCTTAGGATTCTCATAATGGTTTAGCAGTTAACAAAAAGTCAAAAACTAAGCATGCTTCTTTTGTCTTAAGTGCAGGTGATAATAGGATCTTCTGATTTAAAAGCTAACCGTGCAATTCGTCAAATTGTTGATGTCATTTCCGAAAGCCAAAAGTATAACAAGTATGTCTCCTTTACCTTTGCTTATCCTGCCTCTATCTCATTTCAGTTGTCATGGAAATTGAGGTGAATCAAAACTAATCTTTGCGATATTTCAGATTGGTGAAGTTGCTTGAAGACATAATGGATGGAAGCAGAATTCTTGTCTTCCTTGATACAAAAAAAGGCTGTGACCAAATCACTCGTCAGCTTCGCATGGATGGCTGGCCTGCTTTGTCAATACATGGTGATAAAAGCCAAGCTGAGAGAGATTGGGTTCTCGCGGAGTTTAGATCAGGCAAAAGCCCTATAATGACTGCTACAGATGTCGCAGCTCGTGGATTAGGTACAAAATCGTTTTCTTCTTTGAGCGCAACATCAACTCTCTTCACCATGGTGACAAACTTAACAATGTCTTTTGTTTTGAACAGACGTTAAAGATGTAAAGTATGTGATAAACTATGATTTCCCTGGATCACTAGAGGATTATGTTCACAGAATTGGAAGAACGGGTAGAGCCGGGGCAAAAGGAACAGCTTACACTTTCTTCACAGTTGCAAATGCGAGATTTGCCAAAGAACTTGTCAACATACTAGAAGAAGCTGGACAGAAGGTGAGCCATGAATTGGCTTCAATGGGACGTAGCACCGGTCCTCCTCCACCAGGTCAGTTAACAACAAGCAAATATCTTGTCTTCAATATATTTGGGGTTGTTCTGAATTCTGATACACTAGAAAACACAAATATGGCTTCATCACAAGATGTGTCAAAATATTGTAGGAACCGGCTCAAGTTATGAAATTTTAAACAGGGTGTTGAACTTGATAATTAATAACGAGGGTTCATGTTGTGGAAACAGGACTTGGTGGATTCAGAGACCGTGGGAGCAGAAGAGGCTGGAGCTGATCACTGATTATGTAGTATGTTGTTATATGGCTTTAGGGCTCAGTGGTTTTTTTTCCTTTTTACTGTTTTGTTCTTAATATTTGGCATTTGCAGCAAAACATTAAAACATGTAAGATAAACATTTGTTCTGATCATCCGAATTAGCGTAAGATAAACCAAATATTTTCAGAAAACCAAAATAACAAATCTTCGTAGTTAAATAAAAATTAAACCGGAAATAAAAATTACAATCCACGAGTATTTGTAATTAATTTGTAAAAACATTTCGATCTAAATGTGTTGAATTAAAAAAAATTATAACGAAGTAAATCCCTAAATAAAACTTGAAGCACAAGAGAGGAAGAAGAAGAAGAAACGGGACAGTTTACATTTGCGAACACAAGTAAGAAACTCTATCTGGGTTGATCGAATCGAGTCGCCATGAGTGAAGAAACTCCTAAGCTTTTCACCAATAAACCCAAGAAGAAGGGTAACAACTTTATATTTTAATTACGCTATTTTTTTTTTTGGGGTTTTCCGAAGAAGCTGTCGCTTTTTATCCCCAGCTCACTCAACGAATCATTCACAATTTGTTTTTTCTGGATTTATATTGTTTGACTTTATTTGTGATGCTCTCTCTCATTATTTGCGGATTGTGATCTGTGTCCAGCCATTATTGCTCAGCTGAAGCACGTTGAAGCCAATTTCAATAATCCTTCTACTGTTCCTCCATCATCGTCAGCACCTTCTCCGGCTGCTGCTGCCGCTGCTTCCTATTCCATGGGTGGTGCTCCTCCTCCTCCTCCCCCTCCTCCCAAGCAATCGTTCGCTCGGAGGTACAAATTTGTATGGCCTGTTCTCCTTACCGTCAATCTCGCCATCGGAGGTAATCATCACGTTTTCTCTGATTCCAAATTAGGGTAATGATTTTGCTGGTTTCGATCATTTCGCATTGGTTTGCGTTTCTCTTCTTATGGCTGATGCCTAATGGTAGTAGTAAGAGTTTCTTCTTGTGAAGTTAAAAGAGTTTAATTAGAATCATTTAGTTTTTTTTTTTAATCAGCTACAAAGCTTGAAGCACTGAGATGATCTGCTCCAGATTATGTGTTGTTATGTGCTATATGAGTTTTTGATTGATGCCTTTTTGTGATCTTTAGATTTTGTTTACTGTCTCTACTGATAAACACACTTTGACTGCATGATTTTGCTCATCATTTTACTTTTAGATGCAAACCGTAACGTTATCTATATAAAACCTGTATCGTAATGTTGCAGACTATTTATTCTTAAGGTTCTCTGCTTGTACTTTGTCCCCTGCTGAAGCATGACTTATCCTTGTTTATGGATAACCTTTTTCCCCACATCTGATTTGTTTTTTTTTAATCCTTTTGATATTAGGGTGTATGATGTTAAGAGTTGTATAAGATAGTTACATGGATACCTAACCTGGCGCCGTTGAGATTCTTCCTTAGATAGTTTCTTTGTTCCTGATCTTGGAAATACAAGATTCATCAACTCTTTTATATCTATATACCCTAGAACTGTGTTGAAGTTACAATCTTTATGGAAATGCCTTTACATAGGCTTTCATGTCAAATACTGATGGTTCTTTACCTTATTCGTTTTGCAGGTTATCTTTTCATTAGAACTAAGAAAAAGGATACAGATCCTGTAAACGAAGAGACAGCTGCTAAATTGGGTGCAGTTGCAGCCCCTGTTACTGTGGAAAAGACTGTGTCTTCCGCGGTGGTTGCAGAGCCCGTGGTGGTCAAGGCACGTGAGCCAATTCCGGAGAAACAACAACGTGAGCTCTTCAAATGGATGTTGGAGGAGAAAAGGAAAGTAAATCCTAAAAACGCAGAAGAGAAGAAACGGATTGACGAAGAGAAAGCGATTCTGAAACAGTTCATAGGCTCCAAAACCATTCCTACTCTCTGATGATTAAAGTGCAGCTTCTGTTGATTTTAGTTTGGTTTGGTTTCTTCAATTCTTACTTTGTGGATATCAGATGTTTTGCTTTTGGAAACCTTTTTTTCTCGTTTCAATGTTGAAATCAGCCACTTTGGTGTCTTCAGTTTCATTCAACGTTGATGACCCATGGTTCGGTCTTGTGGTTTTGTGAAACGGTTACTGCTAAAGAAAAAGGTTCGACTTTTTATGGGCTAAACTTTTTACGGACACCCTTCAAAACTGAAAAAACCCAAAATTAAGATTCAACAAACTGTTGAAGATTTGATATCCGAACGCCCATATATACATTTATCAATCTATTTTATGAAAGCCCATTTAAAACCCATTTGATATAATGACGTCGTTCTTACGCTGACAAGTTTGAAGTTAACCTTCTTCGAGGCTAAGCTCAAGAGAAAACAGAAAGGTAGAAGACGATATCCCCTCCGCGCTCTGTAACTCAGGAAAAGGTTCTGACTCTTTTTTTTTATATATATTTTGTTGGGGGAAATTCACATTACTTAGATTGAATTGCTCAATTGTGTACATAAAATAAACTCGAAATCCCCATATATATTTATATTATGCTCAATTGTCTTGTTGTTGAAGCTGCGATCAATCTAGGTATTAGGTTAGCTTCATTTTTCTTTACTTGATTTAATCCAGCTGCGAATCAATCTTTTCATGTTTCTTGAATGTGAGAGTGATGAATTTTGAAAACGAATTTGGGTATATTTGAATTTTGCTGTTTTGTTGTTGGCTTGAGAAGGTAAATTCTGAATGTCTGGAAGAAATCGAATTCACCGAGACAGTTATCATGATCATCGGCGTGATTTGCCTCCGGAGAGACCCTTTCTCCGAGGCCCTCCATTGTTACAGCCTCCTCCACCATCTTTGTTAGATGATCTTCAGATACAGGAGGTTGAAATTAGAAGGCTTTTGAATGATAATCACAGACTTGCTGAGGACCGAATGGTTTTGGAGCGAGAACTCGGTGCTGCTAAGGAAGAGCTTCACCGAATGAATCTCATGATCTCTGATCTTCGTGCTGAACAAGACCTGCGGTCGAGGGAGTTCAGTGAGAAAAGGCATCAACTTGAGGGGGATCTTCGTGCTATGGAGTCTTATAAGAAGGAGGCTTCCCAGTTGCGTGCTGAACTTCAGAAGCTAAATGACGTTAAACGTGGATTAAGTGGAGATGTTCAGATACTTAGGAAAGATCTGGCTAAATTGCAATCAGATAACAAGCAGATTCCCGGTATGCGAGCTGAGGTTAAAGATCTGCAGAAGGAGCTTATGCTGGCTAGGTATAAGATTGAACCTTTTATCAATCATTCTGTTAGATTTTGTTGTAGTTGGTATTTCAATGCATAGACATCTGGTTTGGGTCGTAAATGTTAAAACGAGGTTTTTTTCTCTCTCCTTTGGAACAGAGATGCAATTGACTATGAAAAGAAGGAAAAATTTGAGCTTATGGAGCAGCGGCAGACAATGGAAAAGAATATGGTCTCTATGGCGCGCGAAGTTGAAAAGCTACGAGCAGAACTTGCTACTGTTGATAGTAGGCCGTGGGGTTTTGGTATGATCTTAGAATTTCTTGGTACATTTGGTATTTTCATTAAGTCACTAACTGCTTTTGTTGTGATATATTATGTGTCCAGGTGGATCATATGGGATGAATTACAACAGTTCGGATGGCGCTTACCGTGGTTCTTATGTCGAAAATGATAGTTTTTTGGTACTCATGCTTACATCCATGTGTAAGTTTATGTATTCTTGTGGGCTTTTACTTTGACACTCCTGTATTCTTTTTTCTTGTTTCTTAGGGATCTTCGGAAAGGAGTCAATATTACAGCCATGGGTCTGGCTCACAGAAGAAGCCTCGCTTGGATCGCCACTGAAATCTATAAATGATTTTGTGGAAAATGAATGAGGTGACAACTAAATTTCCCACTTCACAACACTCCTCTGGTTGTTTGTGGGTATGCATCTACTCTAAATCTAAATGTTATTTCTTCTGCTTTCTCAATAAGGCGTTATGATTATGTAACTTAGATGGTTTTTTAATTTTCATTTTAGCCAAACTTAGATGGCTAATCTATTTCAGTAATTTGACGATTTGGTTCCCTCCTGTTTGCTATTAGATGTGTCATATTTATCCTTCTTATTCTTTTGCTCGTATTCGTTGCATCCTGGTTTTATTATTTGTAAAAGATAATTCCTCTGATAGAACACCAGAGGACTCTACCATTGTACCAGTAAGTTTGAGAAACCATACGCGCACTAACAAGAGGGGATTCTACTGGCATCCCCTCCTCTTTTTTTCAAGCCCAAACTCCGTCCTTCTTATGTATTTGAATAAAAATCTGGTGAGCTAACACCTTTCAAAGGGGTTATAGGCTTTAGAAAATTGGTATAGAGAGAGATTTGAGCGTAAGTTATTTACTGTGGTAACATTTTTTGGAGAAACACAGCTGCAATTGCTTGTTTCTGGAAGCAGAAAGAGGGATAACCAGAGACCATTGTTGCTAAGTAGCAGTGTCATGTGTGTTTCTACTAGATTTTAGGGCTACAGGAGAAGCTCAATTAAGGCGTGAAACCACTGTAAGGACTTCCATTTCTGGATTGTGCCAGGAGGCAACGTTTCTCTCATTGAAGTGTCTTGAGCTTGCTTTTTCAAGCTCATGTTTGTAGTGTCAATATTGATTCAATTGGGAAAGGGAATTAGGCACATACACTATCGGAGGAACAGAGACATATTGATACTCTATGGCCATCTGACCACAATGAGTGGCTTCTCAGAACTCATTCTGGGTTCATGCCAACAGAATTCCATCAGCAGCAGCAGCAAAGACCAGTCTTTGAGGTTCATCTAGGTCAATATGAGCGGGATCTTTCATTTCAGGAAGACCTTTAACAAGGATTATTCGAGAAGGGTTTGAGCGATCAGCATCCTTACCACTGCATTAGAGCTGAATCTAGGTCAATATGAGCGGGATCTTTCATTTCATGAAGACCTTCAACAAGGATTGTTCGAGCAGGATTTGAGCGATCCGCATCCTTACCACTGCATTAGAACTGCCCTTCTGGGATCAGGCCAACAGAATTCCATCAGCAGCAGGAAAGACCAGTCTTTGAGGTTCATCTAGGTCAATATGAGCGGGATCTTTCATTTCATGAAGACCTTTAACAAGGATTGTTCGAGCAGGGTTTGAGGGATCAGCATCCTTACCACTGCGTTAGAGCTGAATCTAGGTGTTGTGAGTGGTTTTGGACTTGGTCAGGATTTGGAGTTGCAGGCATCGATGGATTGACAAAATCTACTCCTTGTTTCTACCATCAGAAGCCTCGTGCGCCATTAGGTGTACCACAGTTTTCACTTTTGAAACTAGATGGAAGGCCGCTGGTCTGGGGTGAATCTCAATTGAATATTGATTCTGACCAACAAAAAATGATGTTAGAAGTTAGGAGGCCTGGTGAAGACATCAACTCATAGATGGTTAATGGATCTATTGAAGACAAATCAAAGCGACCTTCATGGAGTTACTTCATCAAAGACATGGTAATCAGTCTGCATAGTTATCTGAGTCTTTCATCAGCTTTTGGGTCTTCTGCATGCTCTGAATGGGAAGGCCAACAGGTTACCACGAGATGGCAATTATCTGCCTAGATCTAACCTGAGATAATTCCTTGTTTTTTAGAAATATTGAAGGTGGTCAGAATTATTCTGAAACGTCCAAGACAGACATTCTGATGCAGAAGTTTATTTCTAGTGATAGAACTTTCATGATGAGCGAAATTTTACAATGATGCATCCCTGGAATCTTATTGGTTGGTTGACGAATAATTCTGGGGCACCAGCTGCATTTGTAAGTGGAATTTTTCAGCATTGAAACACTCGGTAGCAACTTTCTGAAGAAATCTATAGTCTTGGAGTACCTTCTGCATCTCCTTTGATTTAGTTTACCTTCAGATAAAGGAACCTTTCCATAAATCAAGAGATGCCAATGGTCTTGTTGACTATGTTGATGGTTGATGCTACATCAGATTTCCGGGTATGCTCTTTCCAAAGGATGTTGATGATGTGTGTTACTGAAGACGGTCTTCCTACCAAGTTTGGAGACAGGTATATGATCTCTCTAACAAAACATTCGTTATGAGGAAGTTTGAGTTTGCTATGTTATTATATCTGTTAGAGGTTGGCTATCATTGTCTTTTATATAGGTCTTCATATATCTCTTAAGATTTCACTGTGATATTTTGGTATAAATGTTATCTATACACAATTTCATCTTGTTTCTAGTTTTTCCAATTTGGTCTTGTAATCTTTATAAAGCTTGCGACAGTGGAGGCTGAATCGGGAATTTGTGACACTTTTCTAGATTTCACATTATTATCTTTATATATAAGATGATGTTGATGAAAATGAGTTACTGGACTGATGGAGAAGTAGCGGTTCTTAAAGATGGTTCACTACATTAATTTCTGGTTCGGCATGGAAACAAAGTTCTTTAGAATTGACTGGAAATGATTATTTCAACCATGTTAACTTTCGGGAGGCTGCAAGAGATCTATAGATAAGAATACAGGCAAAGGTATTGAAGATAACAAATACATGGGATTAGCTCACTTACTCCTGGAGTTGACTGCTACTTTTGTGGGTTTAAGATTGATATGAAATTAGATGGTGTAGGTTTTCCTAGGATTATAAGGTTGTCGCTGATAAATATCTAGAGGCTCTTTACCCTTCTCTAGCTTTTCTGCGGACTCTGAGAACTATCCAAAGAGAGAGTTAGAAACAACTTACATGTTTTGAAAAGCTTTCCCTCATATGTTCTTATCAAGGACGGATGGAATAGTATTGGAACTGTATGTAGACTCCGAAGATCAGCATAATTTAGAGGAAGAACAAAAGCGTTATTCTGGATCTGCAAGTGCTTTCAAAGATTCAAGCTTCAGTAGTGTGAATCTTCTTGGAACGGTACATGGTGCGGTCCATTTGTTCTCAGCCATTGGATAAGCTTGGACACAATAGGAAAAGATTATCCTTGACCCTCGGCCCTCCATACCCGTTTACCTATTAAAAATTAGGTGTAGAGATCCTGTCCGTTGTGTCACTTAGCATTGTATCGTTGCATAAATATTAGCTATTAAAAGCTGCTCGTTTCTTGGTTTATACAGCTTTTGATTATTCTTTTCCTTGTTGCAGGCGAGAAAGCTTGAAAAGAATAGAACCCACGACCATTCATCTACAAGTTGGTACAGACAAAGAACCAGAAAGGTTACAACAGATACCAGTAAGTGTGTTAATCGTTAGATACATCTTCTCATAATTTAACATTTATATGTGTCCATCGGTATAATCATAATCCACTTGTTAAAATGTTTATTCATTCATATGTATTTCAAGTTATGATCTAAGAATGATTCTGATTCGGATATATTCTTTCAGGTGGTGAGAACAGGAGGAAACATCTTGGACCTTTTTCCTTTCACCAACGTCTTGGTATCAGGAAATAAACCGTCTCCAACTTCCTCAATTGCACCATCTCTTCTCACACTAATTGGATACGCGACCAAATGAATGCCGAGCATGTCCACAACCTTGTCTCCACTGTAAATCTCCCACATTTGCTCTGCTACTGTCCGTAACCCTTGGACACATTCAAGACTCTCTGGCTCTGACAATGATAAGTCATCCACCGTGATCTGGCCACCGGTATGCTCATACCAGAGCGATAACCTGTAAGCTCGGATTTCGTTGGTGTTGTTTGTATCGGTTTGGTAGCAACCTATTGCAATCTCGGTGTCCCGACAACCGTCCATTGATCTCTGATTAATATTGGCTGATCCCATCAAAACGTATGTATCGTCCACTGCAAACATACAACAATTCCTTTGATTCAATTCTCAATTGCTTATGGTTTATGGAAGTTTTTACGAATTATCAATCTTTTTTTGCATTTCAGAATGGCGAGTTGTAGATTGTTTGTTACCTATCATGAGCTTGGAGTGGACATAGACCATGAATCTCCGATTTCTCTGCGCATTCCAATAATTTGTTTTCTGATGGGGCAACGAAACTGCTTCAAACTCTCCATCTCTCTTCTCTTCTCTGTTTGCAAGACAAAAGAAATTTAAATAATCCCTCGGATGTGATCCGTCTCCAATTTCCCATATAGCCTCTCCAATGATCCGATACATCATCGACATCGTCTCTCTCGTCCAATGAAGTATTTCTTCAACTGTTTCACTCTCGGGTGGCCCTTCTGGCCACATTGGTATCACTATGTACACTGCAAATCTCTCCCTTGCGCGTATCTTAGCTGCTATCTTTAACGCTATTTCAACAGGTATCAAGTTTGTGCATCCGCTGCAGGATTAGATATGATAAACTAACCAGTTCAGAATCTTGCAATAGATTATAGAAGTTCTGTTACAAAAACTTACGTACCTATCGCTCTTGCTTTCCCAATGATCACAGCTTCCCATGAAATACTGATTCTCAATGTATATAAACCTCTCAGCCTTCCGAATTGCCGCAACATAGCCATCGTGTACACTCTTCTCTACCTGTAAACCTCTTGGCATCTCTGTTGCCGATATGTGATCTATCGATCTTAGAACTTGAACATTCCATTTCCGATTATTTTCCTCCGTATGTCCGGTTAGGTTTACCAAGTTTCTGATCCCTGATGTGTTAACCAACACTGAAGGGTTACACTGTTTTGTCCATCTCTGTTCGAAGTTCTTCAGAACATCCCAAGCCGCTCCTCCGACCACAGACACATGGCAATCGTGCCATGGCTCTCTTGGTCCGCCTTTACTTAGATTTGCTCCGGCTACACTTGTCTGGTAAAAATCAGCCTCCATTCCAAGAGTACAAAACAGAGAATGCTCCTCTGTATCATACCGACCATCGCAAAGATCAAACCCACCAAGGAAGCTCATGATCTCTCGCTCCGTAGTACTTGAGTTTGTAACACGTGTATCCAATGTGATTGTCTTTTGGTGGTGCGCAAACGCTGTGGGGAGCTTTTTGTGCGATCTTGGACACAATCTACAAACAACATTTGTGTTTTTGAAGTAAGCAAGGGCTGTTTCGGCGTTTGTTCGCATTACACCTTTGTTCTTGATCATCGGTAAAGACGTCTCATCGTTCCACAACATTACTCTCACAGCTACGCCTTCCTCTGCTTTCCGTTTCAGAAGCTCGCCAATTGTTACTCCAACAGCATGCGGAATCTCAGTCTCATCATCACGTACTAGAACAAGATTAGGGTTTAATGCCCATCCTGCGATGTAAACCAAGTGCCTGGCGCTTTCGATTGCTTTGTATACATCTTCCCATAAATTTCTTGCATTTAAAGGAACATCATGAACCCTAGGATCAAACGTGCCCTTGTGGTGCGCATCTTGATAGAATTCCACTCTACAGTTCGTTCTCTGAGGGAAGCTCGCATTCATAATACCTTCAAAAGACTCTCCTTCAAGCGTTTTGCACCATCCCGGTTCAATATAAGCCGGTCTGAACCACATCAGACACTTTAGCTTCAAATTACGTTTCTTTGACCCATGGTCTGCAGTCAGAGGGAAGAAGTCGTTAATAACCGCTGAATTAGAAGTCAGGATCTGTTCTGCAGAGATATGGAATCTTCCAAGAACAGAACATCGAGTCTTGAGCGTGATGGTGATGGTCGTGTCAGAAACCGGGTGTGCGCAGAGGACCTGAAAAGTCTGATTCCAGACACGGTCGTATTCTGAGCTTGTTTTAGCAACTTTCTTCTTGTTTATCTTGATGGTCACGTAAGCAGATTTTGGCTTTGTACATATACACTGTGAAACAAATATAAACAATAGCTCATGAGAATGAAGGAAGACAACGATAACATCATCATTGAATGTTATAGACTTACATTGAAAGGAAACGGAGGAGAAAAAGGTGTTGCATCGAAGATTGTAATCTCGAGTGTTCCATGGAAGAACTTCTTCTGTTCTTCAATCTCCATCTTCTCTTTATTCAAAATCTATCTTCAGAGAATGAGAGTTAACCTTACTGTGAATCTCAGATATATGTTTGAAGCTGGTGGTCAATTACATTGATCGCAAAGGTTGTGTTTTATCCATATATACTTTGTGAATGTTTTTGGCAAAACTTGTAGGATTCTCTATGGACAATCTTAAAGAAAACAATCAACCATATATTTCACAATAATTGAAGGTGAAGTGCCTTTGAATACAAACTCAAGCCTTGGACTCTGGTTTTTACAACTAAGAAATTGAAAAAGCAAAGTATCAAATTGTATATAAACAAAAGTTTAGGACTAAAATGGAGAAAGTATGAAAATATCTGGTGGTCTTTATAAAAAACTCGTGGGATAAGCCCTGTACAGCAATAATGAGTTTTTGTTAAACTAATCAGTCTAAGTTTACTATATAGTCTTAATCCTAAAAACAAATAAAAAAATAACTATTTAGTGCTAAAAACAAATAAAAATGGTGTGATATATTTTGGAATCTGGTATTTGCATTAGATAAGAATTATTACAATATACTGTAGTAAAATTTATGTATTTATTGGTTATGGTTTTATGTATAACAACTACTTTTTACTATATGTGACATTTAAACCATTCCCTAATAGATAGGGACTGAGTACACATTAATAAATTTATAACAAAACTCTCTTCTTTTGCTCCGTTTGCTCTCTTCTCTCTCTCTCTCTCTCAAACGAAAATGACCAGTTACGGCGCGATTCCGACGTCGTCACATCCATCACCGGCGATAGATCTCCAATACATCTCACGCGCCAAACACCGTATAAAATCCGGACTCGCCACGCGCCGCCCATGGAAATCGATGTTCGAATTCGAATCCATGACTCTCCCGCACGGTTTCTTCGACGCGATCTCGAGGATCAAGACGAACCTCGGCTACTTCAGAGCTAATTACGCCATCGGAGTCCTCTTCATCCTCTTCCTTAGCCTTCTCTACCACCCGACCTCGCTAATCGTCTTGTCAATCTTGGTCGTCTTCTGGATCTTTCTCTACTTCCTCCGCGACGAGCCTCTTGTGGTTTTTAATTACCAGATCGACGATCGTACGGTTCTCATCGCTTTATCGGTTTTGACGGTCGTGATGCTCTTGTTGACTCACGCCACGTCGAATATTCTCGGCTCTTTGTTAACCGCCGCCGTCTTGGTTCTGATTCACGCGGCGGTTAGAAGAAGTGATAATTTGTTTCTTGATGAGGAAGCTGCGGCGGTCACTGAAGCGTCAGGGCTGATGTCATACCCTTCGTCATAAATGCCAAATTTTTATGATCATCATCTTCTAATTTGTTGTTGTTGTTTTTTTTGTATCTTTGGGGTGTCATTGAGAAAAACTTGAGAATGTTCTTCTACTTTTGTTCAGTTTGTTTAACAATTTTTACTAATCACTCATAATTGCCAATTAAGAGGACTTTGTTTATTTATACAAAATCCTTGAATTGATCTTACTCACTATACAAGAAAAGTGATCAACGGAGCTTAAAAACAACATTACAATCAAAATTAAACTATATCTTCTCAGTCTCTGCATTTGCTAATTCAGCTTTTGAATTATGATCTCTGACCTCTCTCAATCGATAATCTTCCACTAAACCTCCCTGAGATTTCATTCATTACAATATCTCCTTCCAATAAACGCAATACCTTCAACAACAAAAAGAGACCAGTCACACTCAAGAGAGATTTATTGAAAACATGAACATGTTTCAAGATTGGTGAGTTTCTTTACCTGAGACATACGAGGACGCAGATGTGGATCTCTACGTATACACAATGAAGCTGTATGAATCATACAAATGACTTCTGTTTCTGAATATCTCTTCTCGAGCCTCGGATCAACCAATTCCTCAACCGCATACTCTTCCAACAAAGACCTTGCCTGCTTACAAGAACAATATGAGACTCAAAGTTAGCTTAAAAGAAAGAAACTTTCAGACCTCATCTTTTATTCAAAATGAGCTAAGGAGCCTTAAAAAGGGCAATTTTTGGATTTACCCATTCAGTTAGACATTGTTGTCCCTTTGGTCTGTAAATATCCATTGCCTTACGACCCGTGATTAGCTCAATTAGTACAACCCCAAATGAGTAAACATCAGCTTTCTCTGTTATTTGTCCACTTTGAGCATATTCTGGAGCCAAATAGCTACCACAAACCAAACAAAACTAGTAATTGAGATACTATAAAATTCTTGAGTTACAGAATGATATTTTAGTTCTTGTTTTTTCTTACCCAAAAGTTCCTATCACACGCGTATCTACACCAAGCTCTCCATCAGGCTGCCACCGTGCTAAACCAAAATCTCCAACCTGACAGAAAATAATAAAAACAGAATTCAAACAAATGTATAAAAAGAAAAATAGCTGCGAAAAGTGTTACTGAAGATAATATACATACCAGTGGTTCATAATCATGAGTGATTAGTATGTTGTTAGGCCTCATGTCTCTGTGAACAATGCAACCCACTCTACACTCTTCATGTAGATATCGAAGACCTCGAGCTGCTCCAACCGCGATTTTCTGTCTTGCAGGCCATCCCAAAGCGTCTTTATGGCGACCTGATAGGACATTTCATGGAAGTTAGTCAACTCTTATCAAGTTTCTAACTTCACTTACTTCAACTCTATATAAGATTTACCGTATAGATGAGAGTCTAATGATCCATTGCAAATGTATTCATACACCAAGAGTCTTCTGCCTTCTTCGATGCAGAAACCGATCAACATTACTACGTTTCGATGCTGAGCACAGCTCAAAACTTCGACTTCAGAGCAGAACTCTACATCTCCTTGTGTGCTAGCCAATTTGTGTTGCTTTACTGCTACAATCTGGCCTTCAGGTAATACACCTCTATGAACAGATCCAAATCCACCTTCTGCCAAAAAATTAGCTCGTGAAAACCCATTTGTTGCAAGCTCTAACTCTTTGTATGAGAAAAACCTTGGCGGTTTTCCAAATACAGGCGTTTTGTGCTGACAGATAGAACAGAGAGGTGGCGGAGGAGCATTTCGTGATAGCGAAATTGTTTCTCTTAAGTTCCCACTATAGTCCTCCAAGTCACTTCTTTTACTCGACATAGCTTTTTCTTCTCCATCATCAAGCTTAGAAATTTTCTCAAGCAACACCTTTTTAGTAGATACTTGAGCAGGCTTATCATCAGTTTTCCACAGACTTTCCTCAGATTCCTGCAATGATAGGCGACGAGTGCCAAGATATTCTGATATCCATGGCTGGAATCTCATACTCGTGGAAGGCAGTGATAGATTTTCACTCTCTGAATCAGAATCGGATTCACTCTCTTTGATGACCAAAGTTTCATCCTTTTTCACTTCCACCGTGAAAAAAGGCGATGATGTTCCGAGGTCAGAGCTAGAAACTGATGAAGTCCCCGCTTCTGTTCCTGTGAAAGACGTCTCAACCTCAGGACTGCTCATTGGAGTTGTTGTAACTCCCGCTTTAACAGAATCTAACAACCTGTTTTTGTTCTTTTCAGATGCTAGTTCCCGTTCTTTTGTTGGTGACCCGACCAAGTTCAATCGCAGAACTTTTGCCTGAGAACGCTTCATCGCCACAATGTTACACTGTAGCTCGTCTAAGCACCGTTTCTCTTCATGCTTCAGGTGCCTGTAAAAGAACCATTCGACTTCAGAAAGAGTAAATACTAAAGAAATGAAGAATGGAAATAGATGATCTACTTACTTATCCAGAACTACCCAATTTGCTTGCGATTTCTTGGCCTCAGCGGCAACAGCCCCACATGGTGATCCTGAAACAATCTTGATCCTGACATTAACCTATCAAAGAAACAAGCGTGAGAATAAATTTTGACGTTTCAGAGATATCATTATTTGATGAGGGCCTGATGAATAAACCTTGTTTGGATCATAGACATCATGAAGCTGGAGAATCATTTGGGAACAAGTATCAGTGAGATCACTCTTTATCTCAGGATCTGCATCAGAATGCAATTTCCGATGACCAGTAGCACAATCTCCAGCAAACCTCGGGAAAGTCCATAGCTTTCGGCCTAACAATTTCCATCACAGAAGACCAAACAAATAAGATAATGAATAAAAACAGACGACACTAATCTCAATAATTTAGCAGCAAAAGAAGAAAAAATACCAGCATTGTGAGAAGTGACAACAACAATGAGAGTAATGCAATCTCCAGGTTTAACAATATGGGTCAGAGCCCAAACCAATGCTGTCTTTGAGATCTCTCTAGATGCTTTAACAGCAACAAGAACATTCTCAGTCCCATTAGCAGCACCTAATCTCTTCTCCCGCATCATTATAGAGACTAGTAATGCAAGAACAAATCTCTAAGATTCTTCTCTTCCCAAACGAAGATTTGATTTCTAAATGATCCTCAGAGATAATGTAGTTTCCAGGAGAGATAGATCCACTAGATATGATTGCATTATTATGGCAACTTGGAAACCGAGACAAAATCAGCCAAACACACACTGGTTGATCTGCAGATGGATACAAAACTCGTAGACAAGACAAGACCACTCACCCACTGAATCACATAAACTTCAAAACACAAAATACAAGACCACTCACCACTTTTGAGATTACCCACCAGCTTTTGGGGCAAACGCAAATCCAAAAAATCCTTGTACCCTTGCGAATAAAAATGAAAACTTTAAGCTGAAAAATCTCCCCAAAGGATCCAGAGAGATGCTTATCCTCTCAATCCAGTCACTCAATAGTCAAATCACTGTGTAAATGTTTCTCAAGAAACAGACAGACAAAGGAAATGAAGCCTCTTCCTTTTTTTTTTTGGATCTAAACACTTTTCAACAAGAGAAAGGGCAAAACACAATTTAATAAATCTCTCTCTGCTTCAATCAGCTTTCTACCAACCATCAAAATCACACCTACAGTAAGAGAGTGAGATAAATGAGCTCTTGAAACAGAAACTGCCAAAAATAAGTATCCTTTAGACTAGATTTTGCAGAGAAGAGTATAGCATTGGAAAGAGATTGATACATTAAAAAATTATAATCCCCACAAGAAAACAAAACTTATTTAGGAACAGATGACACAAATAAACTAATATTATCATCAAAATCATGTTGTACAACTGTATCACAAGGAGACATCATCTAAAGTATACTATTACGATAAGTCTCTCACCAAGCTAAGCACTCATATATTTCACCGCCATGAAGAAAAAAAGAGGGAGAGATAAAAGGAAGAAGACACAAGAGTGAAACAGAAGGTTTATTAATTATAAGGCTTACTTTACATCAAGCATTGAAATTTTGAAATCAGTATCGTTATGTTTTGTCTGACTTGTGAAAGTTTCAGCTTTAAACATCCAAAGCACGTTCATAGAGATAGAAACAAGACAGTATTAAAGAAAGAAAGATGTAGAGAAGATACAGTATAAATGCCTGCCTCAGATACAAACAAGCACAAAAGCGCGAAAAATGTGTTATAAAAAAAAAAAAAAAAGGGGGGGGGGGGGGGGGTCTACCTTTTTTAGGTTTTTAGGGTTTCTTGATTTTTGTCTACACAGCCAAAGACCCTTATTATATCACTGTCTCTGTCTCTGTGTGTGAGTGTGTGAGTGTTAACCTGAACGATCCAGTGAGTTATGTACAAAAACAGTATATTAAATATATTTTGCAGTAAATTTTCTCATTGGCCAAAGTATTTTACTTAGAAATAGCATTGGACAGATAGACAAAACGATTAATTAGTTTTTTCAACCTTTAGCTAAAACATTAACTATATTTTCATTTTTGAAATTTTAATACAGAACAAGTGACTTTTAACAGTTGCGTTAAACTAGACTAAACTCAAACAAAGTGGAATGAAAACTAAACTAGACTCAAACAAGATAAACAGTTGCATAATTGTGTTAGTGTGTGTGTGTGTCATTGATAGAGTTATAGACAAGTCACCATCATAGGACCATAATAAGCTGCGTTTTCTCTGACCAGAGTCATTCACTCTCCGATTGTTAAATATCTCTACGGCTATTTATCATCTCAGTCTCGTCTTGTCACACTTACTTCTTGAGAAGCCAAATTAATGAAAGATAACATTTTTAAACATAAATATAAAAAAAAAAATCTAAAGAAAATAGATACTACTAGTGTAAAAAGGTTAATGTTTTAGTGGCGGCTGTCGCGATTGGGCAATGTGCTATGCTCGCGACAATGAATAACACAAGGATTAAATTAGTGTCTCGTGCTAATCAAATCACCCTTATCCTTTTTTCAAAATTAAAATTGTAAGTAAAAGACAAAATTGTAGTTTTGGAAGGATTACAGAAATATTTATTTATAAGAGTTTAGGGTCAATGAATCTGCGTGCTATGTTTAGCTCAGAATATTTTGGGGATCAAAGTTGACTAGTTTTTATATGTTCAAGTTCAACCTTCAAGGCAGCTCATTGTCTCGTAGTTAATTAAATAATTAGTCTCGAACTTTGTTTTGTCTTATGTCTAAATTTCAACAAGCCTTCTTGTTTTGCTAATGTTTAAACAACACAAGTATGCTTTTGTACATTATTTTGTATCCAACACATTTGAAAAACTAATTTAAGATGTGTCTACTACGTACACACCTTAATGAAGCTATTATGAACGTGGATCATACGGTTATCTTCAAATTCTCAAATATCAAAATATAATTCACATATAAAGGATGTGGAATCTGATTATGAAGATCGTAGTAGCTTCAAATGAGTTATAAGGCTCGGGCAGTTTGAAGACAACTTTCATGGCGAGAAGTTGTTTAAACAAGTTTGGACACCTTTTCTGCTTTTCGATATAACTTTCGTTCCTTTGTTGTTTGATGATGAAGTAGATGTGTTCCTCCAGCCCTGTCTTAGGGGGAGGTGACATAGGCATTTGCCATGAGTCCAAAACGAAATTTTGAAATTTTCTTATAGTAAAAAAGTATAATTTTTTAAAGAAAAAAATTTGATAAGAGATCTTATTTTTCTATTTGGTTTTGATTTGGTGAGGGTGTTCAGACATATAAAGACAGAACTGGTTACCCCTAACCGTTAATGTCTTTTTTGCCAATACTTTATTTCCTAATGTTTTTATTTGGCCAACACATAAATTTTTAGGATTTAATTATCGCTAAGTTATTTGTTGTTAGAATTGTGAACCAAAGGTTTTTGATTATAAACATGCTAGTTTTTCGAACAACTAGAGAAATGGAGACATACGCTAGTCATTTGATTGGGTTGAGAGTTATATTCCTAATTCATCAATATTTGTATATGGAATTAATTTGAAAAATATGATAAATCTAAAGACTCTTTTATAGAACAAAATAAATACGAATGTTTTTTAGTTCTTTTTGGTCACAGCTAAGTTTTCATATTTTATTAAACTCCAACCCATTCATATATATTTGAAATACATATTGGTGAAAACAAAACAATTTATTAGTAAATCTTATTTTTTAAAATTCCAATATAAATATTTTGGTTTTAACAGAGAAAACAAAAAATAACGGAACCATATACATTTGAAAAACATCATAACAAAAAAAGTAGCTAATCGTAACAGAAAAAAAAACTACCCAATTTCAATTACTAATCAATAACAAAAACCAACTGTTCATCGATCAATGCTACTCTATATAAGCTGCAGATACAATAAGCCAACACTCCTCATTGTCTCTTAAAACACATATTAATAAGCAATCAAATTGAGTTTTCTTCATATATATACCCTAAACAATAGAAAAAAATGACCAGCATAGCTTCTACATTTAAGACTTTGTGTTTGTGTCTCTTGTTCATTGTTGTTGTAAGCCGTCCGACCGTTAGACCAAAAGTTTTCAACGTCAAACGCCATGGTTCAATACCAGATGGAATAACTGATAACGCCAATGTATGTACACAACCCATTTTTCTAATTATATACATTTATCAATAATTTCTGAGATGAAAATCTATGGATATTAACACAGTAAATAAACATATAGGACCAATATCCAAACACAAAATATCTATTTTTTATTTTATTAATATATGTCATATTCTTACCGCATATTAAATTAGGCATTCACAAGTGTATGGAGCCGTGCATGTGCAAGGAGAAGTGGAAGTAGCAAAATATATGTACCAAAAGGAACTTTTTACCTTGGTGGTGTAGAGTTCGTCGGTCCGTGCAAAAATCCTATTGAATTCGTCATCGATGGAACTTTATTGGCTCCTGGAAACCCTAACGACATTAAGCAAGACACATGGATCAAATTTAGGTACATCAATGATCTTTCTATCTCCGGTTTCGGTACACTTGACGGCCAAGGAAAACAGTCTTGGCCACTCAATGACTGTCACAAAAACCCCAATTGTCCTAAACTAGCTATGGTAACATTTCTTAAACTTTCCTTTTTGTTTATATATGGCTCATTTTCATAATATGATTATTATTTAAAGTCTATTAAAAAAGGTGTGACATAATACTTGTACATATTATTTTGATATAAAATAATCTGGAAACTCCTTTTAACATATAAATTTGAAATTTGCTTACAGACTATGGGATTTGCATTCGTGAACAACTCAAAAATCAAAGACATAACATCACTCAACAGCAAAATGGGACATTTCAACTTCTTCTCCGTCCATCACTTTAATATTACTGGTGTCACTATAACAGCTCCTGGAGATAGTCCTAACACTGATGGTATAAAGATGGGTTCATGTAGCAACATTCATATCTCAAACACAAACATCGGTACCGGAGATGATTGTATTGCCATTCTCTCTGGAACTACTAACCTCGAGATCTCTAACGTCAAGTGTGGCCCTGGACATGGGATTAGTGTCGGAAGCTGAGGGAAGAACAAAGACGAGAAAGACGTGAAGGGCTTAACAGTAAGAGACATCGTTTTCAATGGCACAAGCGATGGTATTCGGATCAAGACTTGGGAATCTTCTGCTTCGAAGATCCTCGTTTCGGATTTCGTGTACGAAAATATTCAGATGATTGACGTTGAGAAACCGATCAACATTGATCAGAAGTATTGCCCTTACCCACCTTGTAAACATGAAAAGAAGGTTAAATTTCTATGCAGTAATATATTTTCATTTTCTTTTCTTTTATCACAAGCAAAATAAAATAAAACTTATCTTTTCTTCTTTGTTTTGTTTTTTCAGGGTGAATCTCATGTTCAGATCCAAAACCTTAAGTTAAAAAATATATATGGAACATCAAAGAACAAAGTGGCAGTGAAACTGCAATGTAGCAAGAGCTTTCCATGCAAAAACGTTGAGCTGATTGACATTAACCTACGACATAATGGACTTGAGGGTGGTCCTTCCACTGCAGAGTGCAGAAATGTTGATGGTTCTGCAAGTGGGAAGATGGTTCCTAAGCATTGTCTGAATTGATTTCACCTTCTATCAAAACAATGAGATGTGTAGCATATGAAATTTTCATTTATGTATAATTTATCTGATTAATTGGTGTATACGATTATGTTTTGTTGTTGTAACCGAAATTCCAAACTGATACATAAATATGTACATATGCTTTCTGATAAATTAGCATCCATAATCTACATTGCCTGAAAAATCGAATTTAAAACATACTGTGGAAACATGATTAACAACTGGAACAAACAAATTAAACCATTAAACCTCAATCACAAAGATTCTGTATGAATTCATTAAATCCGGTAGAGCTGAAGAAACTAGATTGAACCATGCATACTCTAGTTTCAGTTTTGACTGGGCCGTTTGAGGGTCGAGAAGGGCACAATCTTGAGCCCATTATTAATAACATCCAAATATAATTCAATAGTGAAACCCAAACACATTTTTGTATTTCGTAGCTTCTAGACGATACGACGTCGCTTTGACTAAGTGTGGAAAAGCAGAACGGCGGCGTATTAGTTGTTATCCCCGAGTCGAGTCCACCTTTTTGGATAATCCAGCGGCTATCGGTTCGACCCGACCGTAAAAATCCCCAGAAAACAGCTTAAACCCTAAAGTGTCTGATCTCGTCTTCTTCTTCATTTCTTTGATTCCCTTCCAATGGCGTCTTCTTCAAAAGTATGCAGATTATCATCCAAGATACATTCTTTAACCCAGAAGCTTACCAAGACGAATGTTCACGTTTCTTCCTTACCTTCTCCCATTAAAACTTCATCTCCAATTTCAGCATCTACCCGTTTCAGTCAATCTTTTAGGTCAGTGTTTTTCAGGAATCTTACTGTTAGATAAGTATCACTACACATGTATTGGTGTGATCATTAGGTCTGCAAATACTAAAAGTCTGAAAATTTCGGGAGAATTGTTTTGATGAATTTGGTTATTTTGCTGAATTATTGCGATTTTGATTTTGGAATGTGGGGAATGGTTTCACAGACTACCAGTGGAGCTAAGTAGCTGTTTATCTATGTTGCCACTACACAGTGCTATAGCATCTGCCAGATTGATATCAAGTTTGTCTGTTGAATCTAAGAACTGGGGTTTAGTTCCTCAAGGTTTGTCTTTTCATCCCTTCTCTCTCTGTAACTATTACATTTTAAGAACAGAGGTGAATATCAATCTATTGGTTTGAAGAATTGAGGACTTGTTACATTTTCTATATCAAGAAGATTCACATTCTGTTGTTTCCCTGTGTTGCAGTTACATCTTTTTTAATCATTGGATGTTGTTTTTTCCTTGCGTGCTAGTTTTAGACATTTGGTTGGTTATACGGCAGTAAGTGTCATCACGCTTACGTTTTAAACTGTGGTGTGATCTGTTCTTGACAGGGAAAGTATATTTCTAGCTGATTGATATAGCAGTAACAGGAGCCTGATAGATTGTGTTAACTTTGATTTTTGGTATTCCCTTTTCAACCCATTTGTGAATCTGATGTTTTCTTTGTATCAATGATAGTTCTTGCCTACTTTGACATTCTTGGTTTGTTACATGTCATGGTCTACTTTGATTGAAATTTTTGTATATCAAGATGTTTACATGCGTTGGCAGCTCTAGTTTCATTGTTACTACCTGGTTCCTGTTTACTAAATTAGCATAAATTAATTCATCAGAGTTGGTAGTTGGTACTTTGTCGATCGCTCTTATCTTATGGAAGCTTATATTTGATATGGACTTGTTGGTTAGCTTGAATGCATTTAAAAGTTAACCTTTTTATCTGAAATATATATTGCAGGTATTTCTATGCCTTTATGACAGTATTTCATCTTACAACAAGTTTGAGGGAGGATAAAGACATGAAATGTAAACAAAACTCGGGTTGTATCGTTCTTTTCATCTCATATCGAATTCGGAAGGTCCTGTATTTAAAACAGGTCCTGACACTCTCTGTTTTAAATTCTTTCAGTTTTGAGTTGTTTTCTGCTTCTTATACAAATTAATGGGTTATCAGCAATTGAATGGTCAGTGTGATGTTTGATCGTAAATATATAGTTTTCATTGCAATGTCCGATATTTAACATATGAGTCATAGATGATTAGACCCTTGTTTAAATTGACATGATCCATACATTGTGAAAAGAAAAGAAAAATCGAATGTTTTGTGTCTGTTGGCAAGTAAAATGTCTGAAATACAATTCAATGTTCATGGAAATAGAAATCAACGATTAATATGAGAGGTGAGACCGTGAGAGGAAGCTTTCTTCCTCTTCTGCTACTTCTTCATCGACTCGAGAGACATCATCGGAGATCAAAGCGCGTAACTGGGAAATAGAACGAGAGAGTTTGAAGCCAAAAGATGTCTTCTGTTTATTCATCGTGATCTTGGAAGAGAATACGTCGGAAGAAGTGGAGATGATCAGAAACGCCAGAGCTTGGATTATCACAAACATGGCAGCATTTGTCAATACTTCCGTCCACGAAGCCATTTGAGTTTTTTTTTCTAATACTTCAGCCGTTTTGCAAATTTCACAATGAAGAAAACAAATGATTTAAAGAGGCTTAACAAGGGTAGAGATATATTGTTTTCAAGTTGTTTTTTTTTTTGCCCTATTTTTTTTTAAAATAGTGAATTGAGTGTACGTCTTAGCAATTACATAAACACAAGCCTTTGCTCTTGCTTTCTAGTATAAAAGTAAGTACGTGTAACAATAATTTAGACAAATAAATATGTTTTTTTCCTCTTGTCTCTTGTTGAACATGAGAAATAAATTTGCTTTATGGTAAGAAAACATGGAGGATAGAGGAGGAAAATGAGAAAAAGGCTCATATTTCTTGCTACACCAAGTTACTCCATGTAGTTAAAAGGTCTTTCCAATAATCACCAAACAATTCTATTGAATTCAATATCAAATAAAATAAAGCAGTCACATAAGTTTTTTTTATGTAATAGAGTTCTCGATCGAATATGTCATTATCTAAATTTTATGATAAATTGTTCATTAAATTTTTTTCTTTTCTTCTTGTTCAATAAGTTTTGTAGAATACTAAATTTCCATCAGAGATTGTGTTAGATTTTTTGATATATCGCCACACTGATAGAGTTTATAAGAGGTTGTTCATCGAAACAAAAAAAAACATTTACTATGCGAAAATAGATAATTCGATCACTGGACACTCATAATTTAATTTTACTTGATTTTCATTTTTTTTGGTCAAAAATTCTAAGATGGTTTAAATTTAGATTTATGTTAAGATTTGAGACAATAAAAATAATGGAGTTTTTATATGGTTACCATTGGTTAACCAATTTCTAGTTTAAAATACAAAACGAACCACAAACTTCTATAATTATTGCGTAGAAAGTTGTTGATATGATGCACGTTAAGAAAAGAGAAAATTATATATTTTGCCATGAACAATGTATAAATTTGTAAAGAATTCCACTTTCTTCCATATCTTTTCCCGGATGCCATAAGACTGATGTATGAATACATTTTTACCCTCTTCTTAATAGAACCAAATAACAAATAAAATAAGCAATTAAAATATACTCTCTCACATATATTCTGTCCTCTATCGTTATATGTTTTATTTTTCTTTCCCCAAGCTTCCATTTCTCTCTTTCTAACCTTTATCTCATATTCTCAAACTTCTTTCTCCAACTTTATCTAATAGACATGTTATTTTTCAAGAATATATCTCAACCACGACCTAATTTTTCATAAAACAACAAAGGTCCTACAAAGATATTTGCGATGGACTAAATCCACTAATGAACATTAATTTACTTTGTCTATCGAAATTATATCATCTGATTTCGTTGTCCATCGAGTAGAAATCGATTAAGATGTAATAATAAGGTAATTAATGGACTAATTTCATCAATGTCCACTTCTAATGGAATATTTAACTTTATATATATTTTTACTTATTGTACATAATGGAATATTCCACAAAAGTTGTTCTTAGAGTTCTTCAATGTAAATTTCAATGGACCAGATCTACTGCACCTAAGATGTCCATCAACACAATTGTCCATATGTTTTACTACTTATCTATTTGTATTTGTCATTCACCAGTTTAAGAAAACTTATATAATTTTTGTGGAAGTATAATAACCAACTCACCCCGCTTCAGAGGACACGCAGTGGAGAAGTCTCTTGGAACCGTCAAAGTAAGCTTTCGATGGACTAGATCTTCTTCATTTGTCCATCATATAAAACTTTAGAGGACCAAATTCCTAGTCTCAATATCCAAACAAGTTAAATAGCAGAGTTGTCCACACGTCAGAGGACATGCAGCAAAGTTGTCTCTTGATATTTTTCAAATAAGATTTCGATGGACTAGATCTACTTTATGTCCATCATAATAGTAGAGTTGTCCCACGTATCTCTCACTTGTCCTTCAGTAACAACTATTGAGATCTACTTTTTTGTTTTAGATTTACTTATTAAACAATTCAATTATCCTATGGATAATAGCTTTACTTTATCACCCATTAATGCTCACTGTACCCTGTCAAAAATCCTGTCAAATCGGCGCAAAACCTCTCCTCCTGCTGAGGGTAGTTTCGTCTTCTTGTTTCATCCATTTTCACTGTTTGTGGCACTACATAAAATGTCTAAAACAAAATGGCAGTTCCAGTTTTTTTTGGTTAAAAACTGGCAAACCATATAATATTCCCGAAAAGAAAAAGCACAATCTAACTAATTATGTATTGAAGATTTTTCACACTTGTGTCATAAAGTTCTACCTTAAGATAATAATGCTACCAAAACTTCTTATAAACCAGATAAATTGATGCACACAATATGTATGACGTACCATATTATTGATGATTGTCAAAATTAATAGAATGATTCATTAAGGTGAATTTGATAATTATTTAATCATATGAAAATTTTTTGAACATTTAAGGTACAAACCTGAGAAGACATCTTGAAAATTAATATAATCCATACAAGAAAATGTTCAATCTACCATTATCATATCGATTAAAAATATATTGTCAGTCCGAGGAAACAACATCACATATGGGTTGGCATGTAAAATATATGATGTGAGTCCTTTACATGGTAAGACATAGAAGCATGGTAAGACGATATACAATTAATTTTATCATCTAAAATAGTTTTCTTTAATAAATTTCAACACTTTACTCCAGTAATTTTACTCTATATTATTATTTTTTGTAATTACATATTAATAACAGTTATTGATTGAAATTAATTTACAAAAGAAGAAATCTTTCTTAAATTTATTATCTTATAAATTTGTTTCTTTTTGTAAGTAATAAGTACAAGATATATTCATTATTAAAAGAAATAGAATCGGAGGTTAATAGAAAACTAATACTTAAAAAGAAAAAAAAATTGTATGTGTTCAAATGAAACGAAACAAATCTCTATTTGTGAAGTATGAAAATAATAAATTTTGATGTAAGGAAATAAAAATTTGATTACATGAAATAATTAAGTTTAAATAGTGACCAACAATAATAGACCATGTGTCTTAGTAGTCCTTGATTTTATCTATTAGACTAGTTGAAAAAATTCAACATGATTTAATCCAAGTATATATATATATATATATATATATATATATATTAAAAAATCAACATTTTACTGGATGAATTCAACATTTCCATCGTACATTGTTTAAGGCTCACACATATACTATACTTATATATATAAAATAAATAGTTATATAATTATATAACACGTTTTTTATAGTATTCGTTTGTAGCAAATAACATTTCATTAATCCTGGACAAGTAAAGTAAGAAAAGAAAAAGTCTAAAGCTACAAAAAGGTGAACCGATATTTACTTTGGCATGTCTTTGTTTTATGCATTTCTAAGAACTTTCCATTGGCCTGAAGACTCTCTGCTCATCTTATCTCTGATCAATCTATTTCCTCGCAAATACCCATCTTTCATCGGACACGTCGGGGTCGGGTAATACTTTTTCTATCAGTCCAACGACATTATGAAAATCTACATTTCCTTGTATCTTCTAATTGTTATGATTAATTTTTTTCTAATTTTCCAGCCAAATGCCATGATGATTCGAAAGAAGTCCCGTCGTGTTTTGTTGTTTCTCGCCAAGATTTGTCATTTCGTAAATAATTTTGGTAGATCGATCGAATATATATATGATCACTAATTCACTATGTAATCGACTTGTTAAACATGTACAAAAGATAATTATTAATATATAAGATTTTCAGGTGGCCATGAATATCTTAATATATGTATTAACAATTACAAATACTATACATGAATCTTCCTTCACTTAGTTGTCAAATTTTTAATGTGTCCTTACTCTTTAGAATGCTTGTGCCGACCACGTAAAAATGTCGGTCCAAATACGTAAACAATATTTAGGTAAAATGAAATATATTATCACTTTAAACCACCTAATATGTTTTCAAAACCAAAAAAAAAAAAAAAAAAACTATATTATTACGAACAACTCCAACGCACCACACAACACACCATAATAAAGCCAAATGCCAAAAGACTAAGAAAACACAAATATATCGAAATATGATTTATTAATTTATAACGTAGTCAAATTAAATATACGAAACCGACAAAAATATCATTAACCTCAATAATGCAACACGTAACAACTGTACTCAACAGTAGCATCTCCGTTCTTGAGATTAATCCACTTTGTCCTAGCCTCCACATAGCCTCTAGCAAACCGGAAAAGCCCACTTCCTCCGACGATCGGCATCTCTCTGACTTCCGACATCGCCGTGTTCCGACCAAGGATGGTGATCGTGCTTCCGTTATATTTCCCTGTCTTGAAAGCAAAGTTCATGGCCATCAGGAATCCCAACTCCTTTTGTGCCGCTCCGGCGTAGAACCCTTGAGCCTGTCCCAAAACGGTGGAGTTCATCGGAACTTTCGCGGTCAAAGCGTTGTCGATCATAGAGATGGCTCCGAAGTAGGAAGAGTTTGTAACCGGTGGCTGGATCATGATGGAAGTTGGGTTTGGACCGCTTAAGATGTCGTGCCAATAGACTTTGAAATGGGTTAGCTTCTCTTTTCTATGGAGACCGAGAAGTTTACGGTCCATGGTTCTAGCGAAGTCTTCGCCGTCTCCGGCAGATGCAACAACTGCGAGGAGAAGGATTTGGAGAGCGAAGAAGAAAATGAGTTTAGCCATGTGTTTTGTTTGTGTGGTTTCGATCGGTACCTCTATGGTTTTATATAAACGGTGTAGAGAACAAGAAGGTATATCATGGTATATATATAATGTCGAGTTTGTTTAGACATCTTTCTAGAACAATAGTATTTTAGATTATATAATAGTGGATTCGTTGATTTTGTGAATTAGTTAAAGAAAATATTGACTAGGGAATGGACTAGTTTTTTTAAAAAAGTTTATAAACAAAAGTTAAATTCCAATAAGTGTGAGAGGTTGATGTGTATTGGCATACATGTGTGATAATGCGTGTGAAGAAGTATCATAATCATTGCGTCATCGAGTCGTATGATTTACGGTGAAGTCATTCTCACAAACTTCTTTTTTGTATATATAAAATATCACCTTTGTAACACGAATAGGTAGTAATCATACAATCAAAATTATCATGGTAAGTGTTAATTAGTTTTTCTATTACGATAATTCGCATTATTCTTTTAAATTAAGCATAATTTGAATCATTATGGTGGACTGGTCCATTAGGGAATTCAAAAACAAAAAAAGAAATGTTGAATATTTCAGTTTTCTTTTTTAGTTGGTATCATAGGGTTATGGTGGCTATCATTTTCCTGAAGGTGTGTTATGTATCACGCTTTTGCTTTATTCGATTTCTTTTTGTTTTCTAAGAAAAAGTTGGCATTAATTCCATTCCGATCTATGCTTTTTGTATAGTGTAAGACAATGTGAACTCCATTCCTAAAAGGCTTATATACTATGAAGTTATGAACCCTTTAATACGCAAGAAAAGCTAAACGAAGTTGTCGTAGTTTACCTACCAACTTACCAACTACAGTCTACGACTACACAGTGTGTGTATGTATAGTTTGTGAAATGCTTGACTTTAGAGGGCGTGGCCTGACTTCATCAGAAAATCCCATCGGCATGGTCTCAGTCTTCCACTTTACCCTTGTCGTGGAACCCATCGCCCCTCCATTCCGTACGTTCAAACAAAGACTTATGTTTCATTTTCGTTTTTTTTTTTTTTTTTTGTGATATATAAATAATAGGGTATGAGAACCGTAGATAGTTTATACTATTTTTTCACGTTTTGTGGGATTAATTTTAAAGAAATTCTCCTGGATAGCATGTTTTAAGTTTTTTTTTTTTCCAAAAATACCACAAAAGATTTATTTTTTTCCAAAATAGCATAAACATAAAAATTTGAATTTTGAAGATGTAGATTTTTTTTTTTTTTTTATGTTTGGGTTGACTATTTACATTTAGGGTATAGCTTTTAGGGGTAGGGAGTAGTGTTTAGGATTTAGAAATTAGTTTTGAATGTTAAAAATTTAAGTTTTAGTTTTGCCCAAAAGAGAAAAAAGTTTAAGTTTTGAATGTTAAAAGTTTAAGTTTAAATACCCATTTTTGTAGTATTTAAGAGAATTCACCTGATTTTAAAGCTAAATTTGTTAAGTAAAGCGTTTGGAATATGTTAAAGAGAGACACACTTTTCTCTTTTAATATATGTTTCTTTTCGTGAGATCCACGTAAGAGAAAAACACTTTTACTAGAGACTATAATTATTATGACACATTGAAGATCTTATATATTCTGTTTTTTTTTTTTTATACTGTCTATTTAAGTTGCCATTTCCATTATTCTTTAGCAACTTGAAATATACGTTTGGTATCAAGGTTATACATAAATTTATATAACTGCTAACGAACGATGAAAGCGCAACTATATTTTACTAGACATACAGTATATGCAAGTTCAAGAGAATTATTTATAAATGATAAATCAAATAACGTGCGTTAAAGAAAAATTCAATTTGTTGGAATTGTTGTAAGTTTAATGTTGACTTTTGAGATAGTCTAGAAGCATTGACTTTCGAGGTGTAGATGTTTTGTAATTTAAATTCCGAAAACATTTCACACTCTATAGGTTTAAACAGTTGAGTAGGTGTATGTTTTTTGGGTCGGATACACAAGTCAAAATCTTAAACATAGTAATTTGGAACGGTGATTTTCTTAACGATTACTACTGTAATATACTAGTTATGTTTTGAGTCTTTTGACATTCTTATACGAAATAATTTGGTTTCTTTTTTTAGTAATGATCTTAAGTAGACTTAATTCCCTTATTTAAACTTAGGGAGATAGGATCCTTGGTTTATGAAACTTAGGTTAGAGAAGAAAAATGTCATATAATCATTTCAACATCGGAAGAGAAATAATGAAAACCCTAATTAAGAGAAGAAAAAATAATTTAAAACTATTTCTCATGATCTTGTTGTCTTGTTGACATAGACATTTTAAATTTGATGAGTGAAAGATATATAAAACATGCTGAACCTTAGCTCCATACCATTCCCACATGTCTAGGTTTCATCTGGTAGAGCATCTCTATCCATGAGATACCATTTAGGTTTCTCAAAAAAAAAACAAAAAAAAAACATTAACATTTTAATTACAAAAAGAAAAATTGAACCAGTAGTGAAAACAAATAAATTGTAAGATAGAGAAGTGAGATGAGATTCTTAATAAAGAACTTTTAAAATCTTAATTGATTTACACACTTGCATATTATTATTGATTACTTGTGTATTTTAAATATAAAATTATTTAAGTAATTAAACTAAATTCAAATACTAATATATTAATATTTAGATACTCAAAGTCTCAAAGGTTGGAAGTCTTGGAGATGCTAAAAACTATAAAAGGATCCCATCCATATGTAACTTCAATTTCTTTCTATTTTAGAAACATTATTGGGCTTTTATTCGATTTATATTCATGTAATTTAGGCCCAGCAAGCCTTTTTAATAATTTAACGACGCCGTTTAAGGAAGTTTCTCTCTCTGATTAGATAAAAACAAAAAATAATCAGTCGACTAGAGAAAGCTCGGGAGATTCTCCGGCGATACCTCCTCCGCCTCTGGACGTCCGAATAACTTAGTTTACCGATTCCCTGTCAACGAGACAAAGATTTTGTTCAAAGTTTTAGACTTTAGAGTTTCTGCCTGAACCAAAGATCAGCTCGATTTAGGGTTTTTTTTTTTCTCTCGTTACTTTCGAGTGTTATGGAGAATCATGAATCAGACGAACCGATGCAGAAGAAGCCTCATCTTCTAGACTCCGTTTCTCCGACTTCCATGGCCCGTAATTCTTCACCTTCTCATCCCATCGCTAAAAGTGTAAGTTTTTTCTCCCGACTGAGAACTTCTCGCTTATCGGTTTAAGCCCATTAATTGAATACTTCGATAGGGTTTTTCTATACAATGAGGATGATGCTGTGAATTTGAGAATGAGATGTGTACTTGAAATCTAGTTGCAGTGTCAGAATGATGCAAATTTAGGACTATGCAAGTGTTAGTTTCTAGGTGCATGTTGTTTACTTTTGAGTGTGTTTTTGTTTGTTTGTTTAGGTTGATGCAACCGCTCTACAGTTTCAGAATCAGAAACTTGTCCAGCAATTAGACCTGCAGAAGAAACAGCTATACGATGTTGAAACGAAGATCCAAGAGTTGCAAATCAACCAAACATCTTATGATGATGAACTTCTCTCAGTTAACCGGCTTTGGAATCAGGTCAGCAATTACCTGGTTTTCAGGTGGTCGCGTTCCTTTATGTCTTTATAGAACGGCTATTTGCATTGTTTAATGTTTAACTCAGAGTGTCTATGGTTTTATTTGTGCTTTCCGACGACTTAGTTGGTAGATGATCTGATATTGCTTGGAGTTCGTGCCGGGGCTAATCAAGAGGCTCTAAACTACTTGGACACTGTAGATAAAAAGCGAGGTATTAATAAGATTTTCCCTCTTCGTTAAGTATAATAGCTGCTTACATTTTCGTAACAGTTAAGATATCTGTTTCCATGTAATCTAGGTTCAGTTCCGCCATGCCCTGCTGATGAAACGTTTCTGTGTAGACTTCTGCAAGTAGATTCCTTAGATACCAGAAATAGTGATGAGGTATTAAGAAAGGTTGAAGAAGCTCTTGCTTTGCGTCACTCCTCTACAATGGAGTTGATGGGACTCTTTGAAAACACCATTACTACACAGAGGTCGAAAGCTGAAAGCATATCACAAAATTTACATGCTGCAAAATCGGCAGAAGGTTGGTTTGTGTGCGAATTATCGATATCATTTTATCTTTTAACGGCTATAGACAATTTACAGACTTCTTTTTTCAGATGCCGCCCTCCAGTTGTCTAACATTAATGATTTGTTGAAAGAGGAGGCCACAAACTTGCGTGAGATGATTGATGCTTTACATGTGAGGCACAAAGAACATACTGAGCAGATTCAGGCATACATAAGCAGCCATTCAACAGATCAGTCCGAGCTTAAACACCTGAAAGGTTATATATTTCATAATTCTAGACAACATGATAAATTAGCTGTTTGTTTCTATAAGCGTAGCACTTTTCCTTTTTGAACGCTGGAACGGGGATGTAAGAATTTATGTTGATTAGCCATGGTAGCATTTCATAATTGCTCTCTGAGTATTGAGTATCTTTGATTATTAAAGGTCAATTGGAAGAGATCAAGGCTGAGCTTGAAGAAAATAGAAGAAAATTGATAAATAAAATCCAGAAGGATGCTGCATGTGAAGGTCATGTAACACCACCAGCAATAGCTAATGGAAGCCTTTCTCCTGAGAAGCCTGTTGACAAGAAAAAGTTGCGTGAATTGAAGGACTCAATTGATGAGATAAAAGTAAATACTCGTTGGTAAACTTGTTCATGTTTCCATTTTTTGTTCTTCTTCCCCACGTCTAAGCTTAGAATGTTTTTTGAATAATTACTCTAGATAATGGCAGAAGGTCGTCTGTCTGAACTTCAAGCCGCACAAGAGTATAATCTTTCCCTGTCAAGACAATGTCAAGATATTGAGGTATACTTATAGAATTTAGGGAAAAGGATATTTCTAAGAGCAATAGTTGCAGTTAACAATGATATGTTTTGTTTACTGGATGTAGAATGAGCTAAAGGATGACCAGTATATATACTCTTCTAGACTGTATAGTTTGATCAATGATCAACTTTATCACTGGAATGCTGAACTGGACCGATACAAAATTCTGACTGAGGCCAGTCAGGTCAGCATCTTATTCAAGTTACC